AAACTTGATAGGAGCTTTTTTGTTTGGTGATCGAGACACTTAGCGAGTGTGATCACATTTAGGATAGATAGCCATACTATTAAGAGGGGTGAAACTCGTATCAAAATGCGGTTGTCAAAGTGTCACTAGATGCTTTAACTCATTGCTTATGCATTTAGAATCTAGTGGGTGCTAACACCCTTGAAAATGTTTGTGAAAATATGCTAACACATGTGCACAAGGTGATACACTTGGTGGTTGGCATATTTGAGCCATGGTGGTGAAGTTTGGGAAGTCGAGGAGGTCACTTTGCTGACCGGACGTAGGACCGGACGCTCGACCTGCGCGTCCGATCAGTAGTGGAGCAGTGGTACAGTCTCGGCCTATTTGACCGGACGCTGACGAGAGGAAGAGATCGGACACGTAGCCTCTAGGTCCGGTCAACGATGACGTATGATGATGTGGTGGCGAAACTATTGGCGCACAGTGGCAGTGAGGACCGGACTCAGCCCTGAGTCCAGTCATGCTCCCTCGGACGCGTCCGATCGAGAAAGTGTGGCTCTGGATGCCCTTTGGAAGTGATCAGACTCAGCGTTGATGGAGCGCCCGGTCATGCGTGACCTGACGCGTCCGGTCGTGATTTTGCCTCTCTGGATGCTTACTGGAAGTGACCGAACTCCAGGCAAGGGTGCGTCCGGTCATATCCGTAGTGCGTCTGGTCTCACTTTAACCGCACTGACGTTGGAACTCGACCGTTGGGATCGGTCGGCAGAGGTTATAGATGTCCAACCGACCGGCACGGCAACGGGCCGGCACGACCCGATGGGGGTTGGGCCGACAAGGCATGACATGCCCTACGGGCCGTGCCGCCATGGGCTTCGTGCCTGGCCGACGGCCTAGGCACGGCCTGCTAGGCCGTTTTTCTTACCGGGCCGGGCCGAGAAGCACGGCTACTCCAGCGTGCCGGGCCGACCCAAGGCCTACTACACCAATAGAGAGAAAGAGGGGGAGGCCAGGCTGCCATTGTTGCGAAGGCCGTGGACGACGCGACCTCTCCATCCCTGACCTCTCCGCACCTCGACTTGGCTGGATCCACGGAGGATGAGCGATGAGGAGGTCAGATCCATGGAGAACAAGGTCGGATCCGCGCAGAGGAGGCATGGGGAGGAGCAACAGCGCATGGCGGTAGGAGGAGAGGAGCCTGCGGCGGCGCACCCCACCGGTGAGTCACGAAGAAGAGAGGGAGCGAGCGAGAGCGGGGAGGAGGCGAGGCGAGCGACTGGGCGAGAGAGAGCAGAGTGCGGCAGCGGGGGAGGGAGAGGGTAGGTGGTAAGGTTAAGAGAGGAGGGCTGGCCTGCTGGGCTATTGTTGGGCCTTTGGCCATTTTCCTCACCGGGCCTTTAGCCATTTTATGGGCTGGGCGGGCCAGCCCACGTGCCTGGGGCCATGCCAGCCGGGGCCCGCTAGTCATCGGGCCGGGCCATGCTTGGGCCAGGCCAAAAAACGGGCCTCGTGCCGGGCTAACGGGCTCAAGCTGCATGCACATCTATAGCAGAGGTTTAAAGCAGGGGACGTGTGGAGCACATCCAGTTACCGAACGCTGAGGATCTACGTCCGGTCAGCTTGACCGGTGTGTCCGGTCACCCCAAGGAAGCTGTAGTGAGGAGCCTAACAGCTCTATTCGTGGGGGCTTTCTATTTAAGCCCCATGGCCGGCTCAAGCTCACTCTCTTGGCCATTTGCATTGACATAGCAACCTTATGAGCTTAGCCAAAGCCCTCCCACTCATCTCCATCATTGATTCATCATCTTTGTGAGATTGGGAGTGAATCCAAGTGCATTGTTTGAGTGATTGCATCTAGAGGCACTTGGTGTTCGTGTTTTGCTGCGGGATTTGCTTGTTACTCTTGGTGGTTGCCGTCACCTAGACGGCTTGGTGCAGCAAGGATCATCGAACGGAGGAAGGTGCTTGTCTCTAGCTCCGATCGTGGTGATTGTGAGGGGTTCTTAACCTTTCCCCGACGTAGAGCCAAAAGATACTCTAGTGGATTGCTCGTGGCTTGTGTGATCCTCATCTTGTGTTGGTTGTACGGCACCCGGTTGCGGGTTTGGCGTGTGATGCCAATTAGCGCGTGAACCTCCAAGTGAGTGAATCGCCACAACGGGGACTAGCTTGCCGACAAGCAAGTGAACCTCGGAGAAAAAATCATTGTGTCTTGATTGTCTCCTTGGTATTCATTGGTATTCATTGTGATTGATTGGCTCCATCATTGTGATTGGCTCAATTCCTCTACACGGCGGTATAATCATCACATTCCCTACCTTGCATTTACATTCCTAGTGTTGCTTCGCTCTTTAGTGTAATTAGTTTTGAGAGCAAGCTTGTGTAGGGTCTAGTGGTTAGTGTGACTCTTTAGTTAGTATTTGAGAGCACACTAACTTAGTGTAGTGACATAGCCATTGTGTGCTTAGAGGTCATAGACACTAGAATTGTGGTAGGTGGCTTCGAGTTCCACCCTGACGTTGAGCTCCGCGTCGACGAACCTTTTGCAACCGTATGTTTTCAATTTTATGTTTCATGTGTTTCATATGTATGTTTCATGTGTTTCATCTAGATGTTGCAAAAGTAGATCTGGTGTTGCGTATGTTGCAATGACTACACACGTATGTTGCAAGTATATGTTCCACATGTTTCAGCTATTTTAGACGTGTGATGCAAATGTATGTTCCCAATATTTCAGCTGATTCAAATGCATGTTCCAAGTGTTTCATCTGGATGTTGCAAGGGTTTCTAGATGTTGCAATGACTATATAGGTATGTTTCAAGAGTATAATGCATATGTTGCAACGGCAGGACGGATGTTGCAGAGGAGATGAGATGTTAGGACGGGGAAAGAGGTGCGACGAAGATAGAATGTGGCGGAGGACAGGGCACGGCTGGGGATGGCGCCATGGCGGGGGCAGGAGCGTGTCGCGGCAAGGAAGGATGCGGCAAGGGGCGTGGGATGGGTCACGGGCAGGGGGACGCGGTCGCTGGCATAGGATTGGTCGCGGGGGGCTAGGCGTGGTCGCTGGCATAGTATCTGATGCTGGCGCGGGACATGGCATGCTATGTGGGGTGTAGGCGGCAGAGCTGCGTCCGGATGCGAGCTAGCGTCCAGATGTCCGGGCGCTAGCCACCCCGAAATAGCTTTGCTTGCTTTGCCTATTCTTGCTTGGCGGGGAGAGCGGAGCAAGGCCAGGAGAGCTCGATAAAGGTCCAAGTACTGTAGCATGCATATAATACTATATATCCTAATACTTTGCTTGTGTCAGTTTGAAAAAAAAATCAGTTTAAATTTTCAATAATGAATAATAATGTACTTGTTGAGAAACAAAACCTTGTCTGCAGGGGCTGCTGGGCCTATTCGGAGTCCTAAATAAATGACCCAATGATGCATATATTATCAGCCCACTTCTTTCTGAGCAAGCCCATGCGTAATTTGCAAAAGGCCCATACTCGTATATGTCAGTATTGGTACTGTAAACAATGAACAATGTAACAACACATTAAAAAGTCTCGATGCCATGTGCACCATCAAAATACAGCAGCAAGGACAAGGGTTGAGTTTAGAGATTGACGATTGACTGAAGGTTTGTTCCATCTATTTTTAACCCGTCGTCAATCATTGGTCTTGGTAAAGATTAGATCACTAAAATGGCCGGTTTGCGCTTGATCCAATGTTAACTGACACAGTTATATAGTGATTGTTAGTGCAGGAAGCGACACGTCCTGACAAAGAACACAACTGCTGTTCGATAAGAGGACCAATGCAAATGCTATCGTGAAGAGCAGGACTAACAGATTACAAAATGCAAGCTTCTCCCATGTATATATTTGTCTTCCTTCTTGTTAATCTTAACATGTCCTTTGTGCTAGAGCTAGACGTAACAATGCTTAGTGATCAACACAACTACAATTCCGTCTGAAACACAAAACAACTTAACAACAGTTTATAAAGTAAGATAGCCAAGTATATCCATATATAAGCAACACCGTGGGGGCTACAAGCCTACAAGGCTACAACTGATACTTTTTTGTTCGTCCTAGATTCACCTCCTCATGCGTCCATGCACGCACCTGCTTGTCACTTTGACAATATCAAAACCTAACCAATCATTGCCAAAAAAAATGTATAAATAGTGAAACCACTTAGCCTCCATGCACGAATCATTCCCAGTAGATCCACCAAAGCCATGCTTGGAACTCAATTCTTTTTTTTTTAGGAAACTGGAGGGGTACTCAATTCTTTTTTGAACAAAAAGAAACAAATTAGGTTTTTGCTTTGTCGGTTTCTTGATGACACGGGGCGCACAACTAATATCTGCAAGCCCTTGTGCAGCCCAGCAGATGGACACACGTCCTATGCCGAAAGCTTAGGAATCTGTTAGGTCAGGTCTTCCAATTGGGATTTAGCAGCAGTCAAATATACAACTCCGATCCAGGGCGGTGGGACAAAAAAAAGTATTTGTCCATGCTTAGTGTCCAGTTGTCCACGAACAATCCTACTGTGCAGACCATGTGAATCCAAACGCGTCCAAAATAGCTGACTCTCAACTCCCAAGTCTACCAAAAGGTGAACCTCTGAAACTTCACTGGCTCGTGCAAAAACTCTTCTTCACACATCAAGATCCCTCAGCTAGCTTCGTCTTGATTCTTAGTTTTTATTTTTATTTTTTTCCGAAAGATCTTATTCTTAGTTTTTAAGTAGAAATGCTGAGAGCCTGAGATTGTGATGCTCATGTGACCCGATTAACTCATCTCTTAATAATTTCCCATCTTTCGGGAAAATTACAGCGGCAGACAGCGAAAGAGACAAGAAGTTCTTTTTTTTTCTTATCGACAAATGGAAGTACATAATTCACTCATTCATGCCCAGAGGGTCTCTTTCTTGAGGCACGCCTCCTGCAGCATCATTGCAGTGTTCCCTGCAGAGCCGAAGCTGCCCAGCATCTGCTGCTGATGAGCTGCACCAGTGCTGTTCAAGCGTCACATTCCATCTGCTGCTGCTGGTGTTGATGAAGTTGTTGCTTTGCCGGAGATGGCACAGCAGCAGCTGAAGCTGAATGCGCATGGCCGTCGTCGTGCTGCATCTGGACGCAGAGGATCTCGGCCTTGGCGAGGGCGAGCTGCACCTGGAGCTGGGAGACCTGCTGCTGGAGGTAGGAGATGGCGCCGACGCAGCCGTACACAGGGTCCCTCATGCGCGCGTTCGCCTCGTATACCAGGCTGCTCACAGCGTCCGCTCTCTGCTGAGCAGGCAGCTCCTGGAAATGGAATCAACAGTTGGTGCAGTTCACGTTAGCCTGATGATGAGCAAGATGGCTGAATGATCCAAGGAATTGGAGAATTGAGCGAACCTGCAGCATCTTGCTGACATTGCTGGCGCCGAAGACCTTGTGGACGATGGCGAACTTGTGAGGGTCCTCGGGTGGGAAGTAGGGCGCGAACACGCACTCCTGCGTGCACCGCCGCCGCAGCAGCTTGCATGAGGCGCATGGCGGGCTGCTGCTGCTACTCCCGCTTCCGCTGCCGGCCATGTTCTGTTCTGGTTCCTCGCAGTCACAGGTGTTTAGAGCGAGCAGTGAAGAGAAGATGGTTGCAAAGGGAAGGGGGGAGACTGCCAGGTGCAGAACGTCCTCTTTTATAGAGCCAGGCTAGATGAAGGAACAAAGTAGGTTAGAAGAACTGATGATAGGTTGGAACTGATCATAGGTCTGGAGAAGATGGGAGAGATCAAATAGTTTGCATTAACTAGCAGAGTATCAGGTCAGGAAAAAGATGATAGAATATAATTATATTTGTGTTGTTCTATTGTCATGCTGATCTATAAGCTAATGACCTTCCTTAGCTTCCAGCTGGATCACAGGCACAACAAGCATGTTATGGCTGCGTAGTGCTGTACCAGTACAGTGTGTATGGTTCTATGGTTTTTCTTTGTCTGTATTTAGCAGCCACGATCAACAAGGTTTGTTGGTCGCAGCAGATACAGCTGAGAAAGTCTTTATCTCCTTATAATTAATTACTAGAAACAAGAAAGAAAGCGAAACATAGGCTACGCGTTCATGGTTCATGGACTATTCTATACGTCTCCTGCCCAATCAGTACAGTTGTGGCATGGAAATTCTACCTCCGTTTTCACTTGCTGCATGGCCAGAGCCCGACAGAAATGTAGAAGTGCATGTAAGCAAAGCATCACTTGAGAATTCAAACTCTGCCGAACCAAGACTGCATTGTTTACTGTCGGTGATGACAAAAGTAAAAGTAAACCATGGTCCAAGTTGATGGCTCACATGCATTACGACAGGTAAATCTCTTGAGAAATGAGTTGACTGTTGTTGCATTGGACTACATATTTCCAAACGGGCCGCGCGAAACGGGCTGGCACGGGCCCGGTGCGAAAAAGCACGGCCCTAGCCCGGTACGGCCCGACCTCGCCCATGCCCATGCCTGGGCCGAAAGGTCGGCCCGTAGTGCCGGCCCAGGCACGGCCCGTTCCAACGGGCGGCACGGGGCAGGCACGGCTCGCAGCCGTCAGATCGCGGAGGCGGGGCGTGAGCTGTTGGATCGTCGGGCGGCCGGGGGGTCCGGTATATAAGCCGCCCGATGCGGCCGCTCTCCCCACTCCCCTCACTCGTAACCCTAGCCTCTCGCCCTCTCCTCTCCGGCTCTCCCCGCTCACTCTGTCGCTCGCCCACTCCGCGCCGCACTCATAACCCTAGCTCCTCGCCTGCTCGCCGCTCTTCGCCGCACTCGTAACGTGGGCTCCTCGACGCCGTCACCATGGAGTCTTCCGGCGGGTAAGGGGTCAGTTCCAGTGGCCGGTGGTTCCCTCTTATCCCTCTCCACCCTCAATCTCCCTCTTCTCCCTCAGATCCGGTGGTTTCCACCCTCAATCTCCATATGTTCCCTTATTCTTCATCCCTGAACGTTGATTGAGCCTCGTTTTCGGCATCCTCACCGCATCTTCGTCATCTGTCCGTCGTCCACATCGCTGGCTGCCGCCACCTCCGGGGCTCCGGTCTCCGTTGAGGTACCGGGGGATCTGTTTAAATACTACAATAAGAAACGTGATAAACTGATGGTCTGTTTAAAGGATAATGTTGTTTCATCTGTTGCTATTACCTCTGATATATGGTCTGGAAAGGCTAAAGAAGATTATTTATCTGTTGTGGCTCATTTCATTAATGCTGATTGGCAATTAGAGAAAATGGTACTTGGTTTAAGGTTGATTGATGTGTCCCATAATGCTGAGAACATTGCTGAGCGTGTTGCATCTGTCATTGCTGAGTATGGTATACTTAACAAAGTTTTTTCTGTAACTTTGGATAATGCATCTGCAAATAAAAATACTATGGATAAACTGAAACCTATACTTAAAGAATATTTGGGTTCTGATCTGTTTTTGCATCAATGATGTGCTTGTCATATTATTAACCTGATTGTGAAAGAAGCACTGGCTGCTGTGAATCCTCTCATTGAGGATTTTAGAACAGCAATCTTTTTTATGAACTCCTCTAATCAAATAATTGTTGCATACAAGAGTTATTGCATCAAGGATTGGGAGAATGCTGAGACAAGACTGCAGCACATGGTGGAGGACAAGGAGCTGGAAGAGACCTTTGCTGGTCTTTATCTTGATGTCGACTAGTTCACTTCCCATTTATGTAATGGTTCTGTAATAACTGAGACTTGGACTTGTGGTGATGGATGTAATGAACAATTAATCTAGGAGCTGGCTATACTCTATTTCTGTTTAGGGTTTCTCACAAGGGTGAGTTTTACCTAAACAAGTTTTTAATGAGGTAGCAATTGCACAACTCTTACTTAAATTAGTTTTAGTTTCAAAAGTTTGTGTTCTTTGCTGTGCTGTGTTCTGATCTGTTTTTTATCTTTTGTGAACTTAGTCATTTTAGATCTCTTTGAATTGTTGTGCTGAGTTCATTGAGGGGTTTTGCCAGTTTAGTGCCTGGGCCGGCACGGGCACGCTGAGCCTAGAGTCGGCATGGCACGACACGACACGCTCCAGGAATGATAGTGTCGTGCCTGGGCCTGGAGTCGGGCACAGTGGCACGACACGGCACGGCACGGTTCATCAGCCGTGCCCAGGCGTGCCGTGCCGGGGCGGGCTAGTGCCGTGTAGTGCCATGCCGGCACGTTTGGAAAACTATATGATTGGACCAAGGGCAGTGGGCGGCTGCTGATTGAAACATATACCACTGCTTTGTGTCCTAGCACACTGACAACACCTAGCTAGCGCGCTCTAGAGAGCAGGATTATTTGACTATGGGTGATGGTGGAAATTAGCGCGACATGCACGTTCGGTCTGTTGACCTTAATTACATCAGGGAAGAAAGAGTACAGCTAGTTACAACACCCTTACGTACAGAAGCGGCAAAGCACTGGTTGACTCTTAATGCTAGTAATTTTGTAGCAATGTATGCATAGGATTATTCGTCTCCTCCTAGGCCTGGGATGAAATTAAAACAGAGCAGGGAATTGACGGGGTTCAATTCAACATGGATGTCTCTATCGTTTTCTTGGCATTCACGTGGTCAGTTGTCTCCATATGGATCACTGCTCCCACTTCAATTCATTTTTAATATTGGCCACATCATGATAGGTTCAATCCAATCCATATATAAATAAAGAATCACTAACATTGCATTATAAGCAAGAGAAAACGACAGAGTATCAGCGTAACAAAGATGACGGAGAAAGCTGACACGTATGTAACCAGTAGGTCAGGAGTGGCCAGTCAGCTAGTGGCTACCGATGCATGCATGCAAGAGGCCATGACAACAGCAAGATTAGGGATTTGTCGTGCACTACAACAGTGAGGAATGGGAGTATGTTGTACACCATATAGCAGCTACAAGCATCATTCGTGTCTTAACTAGGACAGTTGTAGCAGCAGACAAGTATGCGATACCTACGTCGGCCATATTCATGGAGTCGTCCACTTGTGACATGTGTACAAGTTAGAGGGTGACACATGTATTGTGGTCTGGACTCTGGAGCACACCGGCAGTCGGATGTGGACTCCACAACGACTCACTATATTTTACCAACATTTGTTTCCAATCTGCAGGACAGAACAAATTGATGTTGCAGCAACTATCACAAAACCATGCATGCACGCATATATCAGCTACCATGACTCCATGACGTCTCTACTCGTGCATTAATCTTAATTAATTTCCGGCTAGTATGAAAATGGAAAATCAAACGAAACAGAACATGGTCTCTACGCCGTGTTTGGTTTCGGATGCAAGCATGATCGATGATTGATCTTGGGAAAGACGTTGGCTTTCTGATTTTCTCACTGGCGCATGGCCGATCCATGAGATGGAAAGGGGTACATGAGTGACCTCTAGAGTCCAGACCAGGAGGAGGCAGGACTTCTAACAAAGCTTGCTGCCATGCGAGTGTGCACATGCGATTGCTATCAAAAGCTAACCATCCCGAGGTTTAATTGGTCCCTAATATGGATGGATGATGGCATGCCAATCAAGTACAACCGCGGCTGCCCTGCCCAGGCCCCTACCACTACATTAAGCTCTGCCGACAGTGTAAGTTTCACAGCCTATGTGAAAGTCTTCAGATTTTTCGAAGTCAAATTCGATCTGCCACTGAGCACTCACCCACATGGCCACATGACGACCCACATCTAACCTCTTGTACTCCACATAACCCTTTTACTTAGGATCCCAAGTTTCCTTGCTGGAATAAGCAGCAGACGTCCTTTTCCTTGAAAAACACGACAACGTGTTCCCCATCAGAGCATTTCAGACTTGATGGGATTAACTCTAACAGGATGGACCTGGGCAAGTAACAAATTTAGGTTCTTGTTATTTCACGTAGCATGTGCTCTGGAATCATAGTCAGAATATTCCACTGCCACATGTTAAGTAACTGGCATTCAAAGGTATAAAGCCCATGCTTATTGCTTCCAGCTACAGACCTTCTATATTTCCATGTGTTTGCAAGAGAATATATCAAGAAGAAAATCACCAATTGTTTGTGTGGAATTTGGGAGAAAACTCTGGAAACACACTCACTTGCTAGTCTTGATATACATATGCATATATACATTGATATTGGGCTGGGCTTATCATACAAACATGGCCCAACACTCCCCCTCAAGATGGATGATAGATATCTATCATTCCCATCTTGCTACATGCTAAATTACATTCTTTTACTCCTAAATCTTTTGTCAAACAATCAGCTATTTGACCACCTGAATTTACATGACTTATCTCCGGTATGCCCTCATCTAATTTCTCTTTGATGAAGAAGCGGTCTATCTCCACATGCTTGGTTCTATCATGTTGAATAGGAAATACTGATAGCTGACTTGTTATCGCACCACATCCGCAAAAGGTCTTTTCTTAGCACATGTAATTCAGATAAGAGATTTCGTACCCATAACATTTCACAAAGTCCAAGAGACATCGCTCTATATTCTGCTTCGGCTGTTGAACGGGATACAATAGACTGCTTCTTGCTCCTCCATGACACTAAGTTTCCCCCAACAAAGACGCAATAGCCTGAAGTTGATCTCATGTCATCAAGACAACTAGCCCAATCAACATTACAATAGCCTTCCACTTTCAGGTGGCCATTACTCTTAAATATCAAGCCCCTTTCCTGGACTACTCTTTAAGTATCTCAAGATCCGGTATACAACATTCAAAGGTCCGCTCCTTGGGTCATGCATGTATCAACTCACAACACTTACTGCATAAGATATATCAGGTCTCGTATGGCATAGATAGATAAGGCGCCCAACAAGCCTTTGATATCTTTCCTTATTGACTGGATAACCTGATTCGGCACATAACTTGTGATTCAACTCAATTGGTGTTGATACAGTTCGACATCTAAGCATATCGGCCTCACTAAGCAGGCCGAGAACATACTTTCTTTGTGATAGAATAATACCTTTTGGATTTCGTGCAATCTCAATACCTAGAAAGTATTTGAGCTGACCAAGGTCCTTGACCTCACACTCTCTACTTAGATTCCCCTTGAGGCATTTGATCTTCGTTTCTTCATCACCGGTAATAATGATATCGTCCACATATACGGCCAACACAGTGATCTTGCGTCCTGAATGTTTATAGAATATAGTATGATCTCCATTGCACTGTATGTATCCCATGGCACATAATGCACGTCCGAACCTATCAAACCATGCCCAGGGAGATTGCTTGAGTCCATATAAAGATTTCTTTAGTCTGCATACCTTTCCAACCATCTCTGGATTAGAATAACCAGGTGGAACCTCCATGTACACCTCCTCTTGGAGATCGCCATGCAAGAAAGCATTTTTTACATCATTCTCACGGTACTCATCTTCGCCACAGGTGCAAATGTCTCATCATAGTCAATTCCATATGTTTGGCTATAACCCCTCGCAACAAGTCGAGCTTTGTATCTTTCAACCTTTCCTTCAGGAGTTTGCTTCACGGTGAACACCCATTTGCAGCTTACAACTTTCTTTCCTACAGGTAGTTTTACGAGATCCCAAGTTCTATTCTTCTCAAGAGCTCTAAGCTCCTCCATCATGGCCTCATGCCACTTGGGATCTTGTTTTGTTTCCTTCCAATCTCTAGGAATATATGCAGATTGTAATGAAGCAATGAATGCTCTATATGCAGGAGATAATTATGTGTATGAAACATAGTTACTTATGTCATGCTCAAAACCATACCTCTGTGCAGGCACTCCTGCATTGACATGTGTACCTTTTCTTAGTGCAATGGGTAGAGCATCTGAGGAGTTTTCAACATCAATCTCTGAGGTTGAAGATACATCAATAATTTTTTGTCCACTTTCACGCACTGGGGCGGAAGGGCATAGTTCAGATGTTGGTGTTTGGATCAACTCCGTGTTCTCTTGTTGGGATCTAAACTTCCTTCTTGTATATACTTTTGAGATAACTCTATTTTGCAACCCCATACCTGTTCCATTTGGTTGAGTAGGTGTTAGACCACCAACTATCTCCTCCATTCTTCTTGACTGTTCCTGAATAGGTCCACTTTGAACAGTACTATTCTCTCCCTCTTCTACACTTGTAAGATTAGGGTCATCCATTGGTCGTGGAATTGTTCCAATAACAATTTCCAATTTCCTTGGTTGGTGATCACCTTCTCTAGTGTGTGAAGCTTCGTTCTCCCCCTCTCGACAATCACCATCCATGCTAGATGAGTCAAGCTCAAGAAATAAAGAACTCAAATCTGTCATCTCTCCATAAAAAGGCTCATGCTCTCTGAATGTAACATCCATACTAACGAACAAGCGTCGTTCGCTAGGACTCCATCACTTGTATCCCCTCTGTGTTGAAGAATATCATACAAAGATACACTTTACAGCACGTGGATCAACCTTTCCCACTGAAGGTCTATGGTCTCTAATAAAGCATGTGCAACCAAACACCTTGAGTGGTATAATAAATTCATCCTTCCCAAATAGCATTTCATAAGGAGTCTTCATATTGAGTACTCTTGATGGGATTCGATTGATAAGTAGCAGTTAAAACTGCCTCACTCCACAAGAATTTTGGCACATTCATCGTATACGTAAGTGACCTTGCTACTTCCAAGAGATGTCGATTCTTCCCTCCAGCTACTCCATTTTGTGGAGGAGTATCTGGACAGGAAGTTTGATGCAATATTCCCTCAGCAGAAAGGAAAGTAGCAAATTTATTGTTCACATACTTTGTCCCATTATCAGTTCTAATCATCCGAACCTGAGTATTGAACTGATTCTTAACACATGCACAAAAATCCTTGAGTACCTCATTTTTATGCCGCATGAGATAAACCCATGTCATGCGAGAATAGCAATCAATGAATGTCACAAAATACTTCATTCCACTAATAGAGACCACAGGGGATGTCCAAACATCGGAATGAACTAATATGAAAGGTAATGTGCTACGAAGTCCTTTACTAATATAGGATGCTCTCATATGTTTCCCAAACTCACATGCATCACACACCAACTTCTTTTTATCAACCTTGCTCATAATATCAGGAAATGCTCTGGACATAGTGTCAAAGGACATATGACCCAACCGACAATGTTGAAGTATCACCTTAGTCTCCTCTTCACTTGTAGAAATTGCCAGAGCAGTACACGTGGAATTATCTATCCTTCTATCTAAGAACCATAGGCCATTACGCCTAATGCCACTCCCAAGCATCATTCCTGTCTTCCTATCTTCAATTAAACAATTTTCTCGATCAAGAGTAACACGACAATCCATCTGATCCACCAGTGCACTTATGGATACTAGATTAACTGGAAAAGATGGAATATATAGAATAGTAGATAATGTAATTGATGGAGTGCATTTGACTGTACCCACACCTCTAATAGGCTGAGCAGTTCCATCAGCAGTTTGAAGGTTTCCTTACGTGCGGGAGGAAATGAGTTATATGATGCAAATTCATCTAATGTCCCCGTGACATGCCGTGATGCACCTGAATCTAGTATCCAATTTGCATTAAATGTACCTGTGCCAGGATGAGCAAGGTTGATGAGGTTGCCTAGAACTGTTGATGTATCATCTACGCTTGAGAAATTTTCCCCACCAGTAGGCCCTTGTGAAACTGACATTAATTCTGAACTCTTCCCAAAAATATTGGAGCTAGCTCCACTAGTTCCTTTGCTGTGAAATGTTCTACCAGCTTCTTTACTTTGTCTTTGTCCTGGTTAATCTCACTTTGGAGTGTAGCCACTTCAGTGACCAATGCAATGTGCTTCTGTTCCACCTCGCTGGATTGCATAGCCTCCAATTCCTTCAATTGCTCATGAAGCTTCAAGCTCCTGCCCTCCAATTCAGCAGTCGTGGCCTCCAGTTCAGCCCCCTGCTCAGCTACAGTCACCTGCTTCTTATCCACCACCATGCAGATGCAGTCCTTCTCCACCAAGCTCTCTGGCTCCTCAGCAGCAGGAGCCTTCCTCTCTGCCTCCCTGGCCGCCCTCTTCTCGGCCTCCACCCACGCCCTGATGGCCGCAGCCATCGAGGTGACTTTGCTCACCGCTGAAGGGTCGCGGAACAGTCCAGACCTGTGGTGGGCGACATCGATGGCCGCTTGGAGGAAAGGGAGCACGCCGCCGCTCCTCTTTAGTACCCTATTGAGGGCCTCCATGATGCTCAAGATGGCTGCTCCCGCCAACTGAAACCACGCCTCAGCCTCGACCTCGCTCCTGGCCCTGTCCTCTCGCACCGCCTCTACCTAGGCGCGCCCCAGCGAGTCCTGCGCCACCGCGAGATGCCCCAGTAGCGCGGCTCGCTCCTCCTTCACGACCTCCATGTCACCCCATTCCAGCGATCGAGCACCACCCTGGCTCTTCCGATCCCCGAGCCTTAGCACAGACTATTATAAGGCAATATGTCAATAGCCTCCATCATCATGTAGCTGGGACGAGCAAAGTTACTATTTTTGTCGTCGCCATGTGGAATTTGGGGAATCAGATTAATGTAGTTGACACTGCAGATATTGATTTGAGCTGGTACTGCAGATGTTGAACTAGGCATATAAGAGATTGAAGTGCATATGCTCTGGTGGTAACTTAGAAAAAATAAGTAAATTAAGGCATAAAACTCACCTTTTTACAACATTCCTCTCGATCTTGTGGATGATGCCACGTTAAGATTGCTTCAAATCTCCCAAGTTCCTTTCCTGGCTACGAAGCAATTTCTTTATGTTCCTTGTTTTAATCCCTAGCCTAAACATTGAACTTCCTGTTAACTTTGGTTTTCCTGATTGCAAATTACACTTCTCGTGAACACCTGAAGCTCTCCTTTTCATGTATTCTGCAGACTGTGTCTGAACTGTCACAGCAGAAGTAAATGGCATCAGAAAGCTATATTGAAAATATGTTCAAACAGTTGAAAGATACAAGAGAAGATTTGGTGTCACAATAGATCCCCAAATCTCCCAGATAATAGATGTCACGTTTGATTAAAAAACAACAACAACAACAACAAGCCATTAGTTACTCAAACATAAAGGAAGACATACATTCAGTCAGATTGGATCGCTGTTGATTAAGCATGTCTCACTCTTTTATTTACTCAACTTCAGAAGATGAAGGCAAGTTTAGTTTTTCTGTACCTATTTTACTTGAAAAGTTAAAGCAGGCTCAGTTTCTCTGCATGTAATTCAAGCGATCTATGGCATTGAAAACTCACCAGAATGCTGTGCAGATAATGACTTGGCCAAGTTCTGGAGTCCTGTTATATCATTGATCTTGTCCTTCTCCTCAATGGGATTAGCAGAGACCAAGTGCCCTGGGTGGCTTGGATGAATGTGCGCAAGAGCATTTGCAAAAGCCTGAATTATTTACAATGCAAGCCGATGACATTCTCCACAGTTCTCTATTTATTTGTTATTAGATGTACAACCATAAACATTAGTGTATTAGTAGCAATATACAGTATAGTCATCAAGCGACCTTCATCGCTTACCTCAGACAGAGCAAAAGATGATACTTGTCCATTTAAATGACAAGAGTCCTTCACCCATTAGAGAAAATATGAATTGGAAGTAGTATTTCCTAATAGAGTTATTTCAACAATTATTTCTAAAATAATTGAGAGTTTTCCCCCCTTAGTACTTAACTATATGATACCAGTAATCTGATTATCAGAGTGGCATAAAAAAATTACACAAGAGCATTAAACTTTCCAGCACATGGAATCACCTAAAACTAGTAGTTAAAGGGAGGCAATAATGTAGAGCAGGCAAGCAGATAAGTGAGGAAGGCTTCGATACATTTGTTAGATCTTCAGGTTAAACAAACTACAGTAAGCCTGTGCTTCAAACTTGCAGATTACTATTGGATTGTGTTCTTCACACCATTGAACCTAATAGCTTAAGTGCAAACATGCCAATCAATAAGAACAGTAAAGGGGGCATTACCTACAACAAAGGTTACAGCTGAATAAAACTACCTTGGAGGTGATGGAGTAGAAGCCATTATCAAGAGAATCCTTTGCGAAAGTTAACCACTCCTGACGGGACACTTGCAAGTGGAGGTCATTGCAGTATTTAGCGTCTCGAAGCAGCAGGGCCTCGTATCTCATGGCAAGGCAGCTCTGTCAGTGTACATGAAGGGTAACAGTATTAGCAGAGAAGAACGCAGCGAATGCTCTGCCCGTTTGTGCAAACAGAATTAAAATAAGGACGCATTATTCAAGCCTGAATAAAACAAATGATGAACACATGTTGGTTGATGAATTTGAGTGTTGCACTGTTGAGCAAGCTAGCTGAATCTGAATGATCACACTTCAAAAAAAAATCTGAATGATCCATGGATGACAGTAACGAAGGAGATAAAACTGAATGCACGAGGTCAGCAAGGAGGAAAATTGAACGGACCTGCAGCATCTTGCTGACATTGCTGGCGCCCAAAGACCTTGTGGACGATGGCGAACTTGTGAGGATCCTCGGGAGGGAAGTAGGGTGCAAACACGCACTCCTGCGTGCAGTAGCGCCGACGCAGCAGCTTGCACGATGCGCATGGCGGCTGCTGCTGCTGCTGCTGCCACTCCCACTCCCACTTCCGCTGCCGGCCATGGTAACCTGCCGTGTTCTGGTTCCTCACAGTCACAGCTCACAGGGGTTTAGAGCGAGCAGTGAATGAAGAGAGAATGGTTGCAAAGGGAAGGGGGGAGACTGCCAGGTGCAGAACCTCCTCTTTTATAGAGCCAGGCAGGCTAGAGGAAGGAACAAAGTAGGTTAGAAGAACTGATGATAGCTAGGTCGGAAATGATAGGTCTGAAGATGGGAGAGATCAAATAGTTTGCACATTAACTAGCACAGTATCAGATCAGGACAAAGATGATAGAATATAGATTTCTGTTTAGTACTCTGTTGTATCATGCTGACCTATCAGCTAATTTTCTTCCTTCCAGCTGGATCACAAGCACAGCAAGCATGTTATGCCTGTGTAGTGCTGTACCAGTACAGTGTGTAACGTTCTATGGTTTTTCTTTGTCTGTATTTAGCAGCCACGATCAACAAGGTTTGTTGGTCGCAGCAGATACAGCTGAGAAAGTCTTTATCTCCTTATAATTAACTAGAAACAAGAAAGAAAGCGAAACGTAGTCTATGCAAGCGTTCATGGTTCATGGACTATTCTATGCGTCTCCCAATCAGTACAGTTGTGGCATTGAAATTCTACCTCCGTTTTCACTTGCTGCAGCAGTCGGAAATAGACACCCCTGGTTGGCCAAAGCCAGACAAAAATGTGCGAGTGTATGTATGCATCACTTGAGACCTCAAACTCTGCCAGACCAAGACTGCATTGTTTATTGTCAGTGATGACAAATTAAACCATGTTCCATGTCAATGGCTCACATGCATTAGGACTAGGTAAATATCTTGAGAAATGAGTTGACTATTATTGCAACGGTGGCCGGCTGCTGAGCAAACATATACCACTGCTAGCTCTAGAGAGCAGGATTATTTGACTATGCGTGATGGTGGAAATTAGCGCCACATGCACGTTCGGTCTGTTGACCTTAATTAGATTAGGGAAGAAAGAGTACAGCTAGCTACAACACCCTTACGTACAGAAGAACCAAAGCCGTCTAGCACTAGTTGACCCTTAAGTACTAATTGACTCAACCTTAATGCTAGTAGTTTTATAGCAAACTGGCAAAGCATGTATATAGCGGTTACAGCTTATAAATCGAACGATGCATGCACTAGCTAGGTAGTAGAATTATTCATCTACTCCTAGGCCTGGGATGAAATTAAAACAGGGCAGGGAATTGGCGGGGTTCATGTGGGACAGCTCTCTCCCCATGGATCACCGATTCCCATTTCGTATCATTTTCAATATTGGACACGGCCACATCATGATAGGTTCAATCCAATCCATACATAAATAAAGAATCACTAACATTGCATTATAATTTAAAAGCAAGAGAAAACGACAGAGTATCAGCGTAGCAAAGATGACGGAGAAAGCTGACACGTATGTAACCAGTAGGTCAGGAGTGGCTAGTCAGCTAGTGGCTACCCATGCATGCATGCAAGAGGCCATGACAACAGCAAGATTAGGGATTTGTCGTGCATTACAACAGTGATGAATGGATGTTGTACACCATATAGCAGCTACAAGCATCATTCGTGTCTGAACTAGGAATAAGTTGTAGCAGCAGACGAGTATGTTATACCTACATCAGCCATATGCATGGAGTCGTGGTGGGTCTCCACCAGTTGTGACATGTGTACAGGCTTAGAGGGTGACACATGTACCGTGGTCTGGAGCTCACCGGCAGTCGGATGCGGACTCCACAACAACTCACTATATTTTACCCACATTTGTTTCCACTCTGCATGACAGAACAAATTCATGTTGCAGCAACTATTATCACAAAACCATGCATGCACGCATATATCCGCTACCATGACGTCTCTACTCGTGCATTAATCTTAATTAATTTCCTGCTAGCATGAAAATGGAAAATCAAACGAAACAGAACAAGGTATCTGCGCCCGTGTTTGGTTGCGATTGCAAGCATGTCGATGATTGATCTTCGGATAAGACATCTTAATTGTCTCCCTGTCTCTCAGAGGATCGGCTTTCTGATTTTCTCACTTGGCGCATGGATCCATGAGATGGAAAGGCCTACACGAGTGACCTACAGACCAGGAGGAGGCAGGACGTCTAAGAAAGGTTGTTGCGATGCGTGTGTGCACATGCGATTGCTACCAAAAGCAAGCCTTCCGAGGTTTGATTGGTCCCTAATATGGATGGATGGCATGCCAGTCAAAGTACAACCGCGGCTGCCCAGGCCCCTACCACTACATTATTAAGCTCTGCCGACAGTGTTAGTTTCACAGCCTATGTAGTAAAAGTCTTCAGATTTTTCGAAGTCAAATTCAATCTGCCACTGAGTGCTCACCCACATGGCCACATGAGTACCCACATCTAACCTCTTGTACTCCACATAACCCTTTTACTTAGCATCCCAAGTTTCCTTGCTGGAATAAGCAGCAGTCGTCCTTTTTCTTGAAACACGCCAAGGTGTTCCCCATCTGAGCACTTCAGACTCGATGGGATTAACTCTACCAGGATGGACCTAGGCAAGTAACAAATTTAGGTTTTTGTTATTTCACATAGCATGTGCTCTGGGATCATAGTTAGAATATTCCAATGCCACATGTTAGGTAATTGATGTTCAAATCGAAGGTATAAAGTCCATGCTTATTACTTCCAGCTACAGACCTTCTAGATTTCCAGGTGTTTGCAAGAGCACATATCAAGAAGAAAATCACCAAATGCTTGCTTAACGGAAACGTGACAAATGCATTGTGTCATGACAATTTTTTCTCCTGTACATTTGTGCCTAATAGCACATTTCCACAGGAAAACATAAACCCTGCCCCCTTGTTTGCTTCTTTTTTAGAAATACGGTACAGTGGGTCATTCCCACCCAAACAATAGCTCAAAAGACAGTGCTTCACACGCATTATTCTCCAACACTCAATTCAACGGTCAGCAAAAGATTCCAGTTTCATATTATTATAAGGCAATGTGTAAATCATGACGGACAGGCAGAGTTACTATTTATTATTGTTCTGCACATGAAAACAGTCTGCAGATATTGAAGATAGCAACTTACTTGCAGAGTGAGTATGCTACCAATGGATGCAAGTACTCTTCGACGTCTTTGTCTTAATATGGAATCAAAGACTCATCCATAACTCCATGTCTCCACTGCATAAATTCTCAGCTAATTGGACTGCATTAAATAAAGAAAATCAATGTTTTCAAAATATAGTAAGCGCAACTGTGTATAGCTAGCAATACTTCCTGCAATCAGATTGAGCAAAGTGCGCCACCACGCTGCAATATGTGGTTAAGGATTGTAGTAATGTAATCAGCAAACCTTTTGTAGTAAATATTTATTTATATGCAATTGACTTTTAATTAAACTTTTTGAGCTGAAACAAGACATGATGATCTAGTCACAGTTTTCTTATTTATTTCAGGGGTCCAATGCTACAAAACTAAGCTGAAAAATACTGCTCTGTTTTGGAAACTCATGAACAGAGGTTGTGGACTAGTTAAGAAAATGTCGACGTCTGGCATGCACATGCTGCCAATGCCACTTCCACATATCCAATTTCAATAATCAGATGAATGTAATTAACACTGCACATATTCAGTTGAACTGGTGCTTTAGATGTTGAACTAGGCGTATAAGAGATTGAAGTGCATATGCACTGGTGGTAACTTAGAAACAAATAAGTAAATTAAGGCATACAACTCACCTTTTCTACAACATTCCTCTCGGTCTTGTGGAAGATGCCACACTAAGATTGCTTCAAATCTCCCAGGTTCCTTCCCTGGCTACGAAGCAATTTCTTTATGTTCCTTGTTTTAATCCCTAGCCTAAACATTGAACTTGCTGATAACCTTGGTTTTTCTGATTGAAAATTATCCTTCTCATGAACACCTGAAGCTCTCCTTTTCATGTATTCAGCAGACTGTGTCTGAACTGTCACACACAGCAGAAGTAAATAGCATTAGAAAGCTATATCGAAAATATGTTCAAACAGTTGAAAGATACAAGAGAAGATTTGGTGTCAGTTGTCACAATAGGTCCCCAAATCTCCGAGATAATAGATGTCACGTTTGATAAAAAAAAAAACAAGCCATTAGTTACTCAAACATAAAGGAAGACATACATTCAGTCAGATTGGATCTCTGTAGATTAAACATGTATCACTCTTTCATTTACTCAACTTCAAAGATGAAGGCAAGTTTAGTTTGTCTGCACTTATTTTACTTGAAAAGTTAAAGCAAGATCAGTTTCTCTGCATGTAATTTAAGCAATCCATGGCATTGAAAACTCACCAGAATGCTGTGCAGATAATGACTTGGCCAAGTTCTGGAGTCCTGTTATATCATTGATCTTGTCCTTCTCCTCAATGGAATTAGCAGAGTCCAAGTGCCCTGGGTGGCTTGGATGAATGTGCCCAAGAGCATTTGCGCCTGAATTAGTTACGCCTGAATTAGTTACAATGTAAGCCAATGTCATTCTGCAGTTCTCTATTTATTTGTGCTCAGATGTACAGCCATAAACATTAGTGTATTAGTAGCAATATACAGTACAAGTCATCAAGCGACCTTCATCGCTTACGTCAGACAGAGCAAAATATGATACTTATTATCCATTTAAATGACAAGAATCCTTCACGCATTAGAGAAAATATGAAGTGGAAGTAGTATTTCCTGATAGAGCTATTTCAACAATTATTTCTAAAATGATTGACTTATTTTTCCCCTCTTAGTACTTTAATTATATCAAATCAGCACTCTGATTATCAGATGGCATAAAAAACTTACACAAGAGCATTAAACTTTCCAGCACATGGAATCACCTAAAACTAGTAATTAAAGGGAGGTATCAATGTAAAAGCAGGCAATAGAGGAAGGCTCCTCTGTTTCAAACTTCCAGATTATTATTGGATTGTGTTCCTCACACCCAGTGGAGCAGCTGTACAGATTTCTTGAAATTTAATGGAAACTGTAGGTGTTTAGGGGGCTCTTGCCCCCCCCAACACACACACACACACACACACACGGCCACAGCTGAGACCATTGAACCTAATAGGTTAAGTGCGAGCATGCCAGTCAATAAGAACAGTGAAGGGGAATTACCTACAACAAAGGTTACAGCTGAATAAAACTACCTTGGAGGCAATGGTGTAGAAGCCATTATCAAGAGAGTCCTTTGCGAAAGTTAACCACTCCTGACGGGACACTTGCAAGTGAAGGTCACTGCAGTATTTAGCGTCTCGAAGCAACAGGGCCTCGTATCTCATGGCAAGGCAGCTCTGTCAGTGTACATGAAGGGTAACAGTATTAGCAGAGAAGAACGCAGCGCATGCTCTGCATTTGTGCAAACAGAATTAAAATAAGGACGCATTATTCAAGCCTGAATAAAACAAATGATGAACACATGTTGGTTGATGAATTTGAGTGTTGCACTGTTGCTTGCTAGTGTGTATGAAACATACTGCAATCATCTAAAATAAAATGCTGAAAGCCTGCAATTAGGAATGTATACTGAACTGAAGCACAACAACTTCGGGCGCCCAAATCAGACTAAAACTAAAATCACAGGTACGGCGCACGAACTAGCAATAGCAGTGCATAATCTGCAGCACACCGTATGCGGCAACCACTAATCTCGCTGGGTGCTGACCTCAACATCGCCTACGAGCGCGAAGGCGCGTGCGAAGAAGTCGGCGACGACGAGGCTGCTCCCACCATCCAGCACTGAACCCGTCGCAGTGAATGCAAACGCCTCCGCCGCGCTTGCTTGAAGCAGACTCCGGGCCGCCGAGCGCGTGGCGAGCAGCGCGGGTACGTCAGCGCCGGCGGACAGCGCGGCCTCCAACACCCGGAGGTCCTCGTCCCCGAACCTGCAGCGCACTCGCACCCAGTCAGGGGCGGCGGGAGGGAGGTCGAAAGGTGAGCGAAAAGGTCGCAGAGGTCGCGCGGTTGGGTGCGGCAGGTGGGTTGGGGCAGGCGCGCGGCCGCGGCGTAGTACCTGCGATAGGAGAGGCGGGAGGCGAAGAGAGCGAGCGCGGAGGGCGTCGCGGCGTTTCCATCCTGCTCCGCCATCGCCGGCGGCATCGTCCCGTTTTTTTTTTTATTTCGAAATGAAAAACGCTCGCCGTCGCCGGAGACGGATGGCACGGGAATGAGGAGGAATTTTTGTTTGTGGTGGGCGTGGGCTGGTTGAATTGAATTGAACTGAAAATAGGCCGGGCCATCAACGGAAATGTGGTCTAGTGAAGATCAACATCGACACAGCAATTTCCAAAGAGCTCAAGGACGGCATCGACTGCAGCTGTGGCCAGGGACGAGAGGACGAGGAGCACAGCAGCTTGGGGAAGGGGAAACGAAGAGCAGAGGAAGAACAACAGGGAAATTAGGACGAAGGAGTTCTTAGATTAACAGGAGTAAATTGATACAATTGTTCATAGTCAAGACTTCCTCAGCTAGTTGATGGGCCGTTGTAGCGGACGCTGGGCCGGCGGCTTCTCTTGGACCTGGGCGCGGTCGAAGAGGATGGCGCGCCCGGCTCACTGTTGGTGGCACCGTCAGGTTGCTGACAGAGATGGACAATTTTCTGGGAGTCTCGGCCCTTGTTCTAAAGGGATAGACGAAGCAGTAGAGGTGCCCGAAGCAATAGCATGCCGAGAAGAGTTATGGCTTCCTAGTGATCTTGGGTTGGAGTCCATGCGAATGAGATTGGCAACTGACTAGGCAGACGTCGCAGATCAAAGGGTATAGTTGGTTGGCTACCAATTTTGATCTACCAAAATCATGGTAAGCCAAAATATAGGTGTGCATCTGATTGACCGTCATAACAATAATAGAAGGCATATTTTCTCTTTTACGTAGTTTAAGAATTTTCTAGAGATTTGTTAAAATTTTGATCATAACACATTGTGTGCCAACCAATTGATGACTAAAATTTTTGGCATGCCATGGTTTTGATTAGACAAGAATTGGAAGCCTAACCAATCAGACCCAAGTCCAGAAGAGAAAGTTTTTTTTTTTTTGAAATGTCAGGGGAGGACTCTCCCCCACCTTGGAGGTACATATTACATTTGTTCTGCCACAAGGGGCTTGTTCCCTTCCTGGCTTCCTCTCCCTACCATGCCGCAGGTCCACAATCTCCCACGCCACCACCATGTCTCCCACGCCCGTGGCAGCCCCCGCCTCCAACAAGGGCGCCAAGCGCAGCCTCATGTCCTCGCTCATGGATGCCACCACGCTGCTCCACTCCTCCTTCAAGGAGGACTCGTACGTCGCCGCAGCGCTCCCGTCGGCCGAGCTCCGCAGCGCTCGCCGACCTCAAGGCGTTGCTCACCACCCACCGGGACCCCATTTCCATCTGGGGCATCCCACTGAACCCCCCACTCTCCTCCCGCCGTGGCGGACGACGCTGCCCCTGCCCCGGTCGACGAGCGCGCTGACGTGGTGCTCCTCAAGTTCCTCCGCGCACGGGACTTCCCCGTCCTCGATGCGCACACCATTTTGCTCCGCTGCGCCGCCTGGCGCACCTAGTTCGAAGCCGACGCCGTGCTGGACGAGGACCTGAGCTTCAAGAAGAGAGAGTTTTAGCAAGGTGGGGTTTGCTCGTGAAGGAAGACAGTTCAATCATGAAGCTCATTTGTTAGCTACGAGTTCGGTTAGCTTATCCTGTGGTAGACATGTTTGGTTCCTCTCTCTCCTCCTGCTGATGAGTTTGTAATATAATTTCTAACAAATAATGATGATGGCGGGTTGTTTCTCAAAAAAACAAAAAGTTGTATCTATTTCTAAAAAAAATTGTAGTTGTAGCTCCCTTCATTTTCCTATCTCGTCATGACACACAGAAATTAATTAAAGAGAAAAATAAAATACAAAGAAGAGAGCAGATCAACGCAGACAGTTACTCTACTACTCACATGGAGAGAGAGAGAGAGAGAGAGAGAAATAAATGGGAATTAATAAGAAGCTAATTAGACGAGACGAGAAAGCATACAAAGGATGAACAGCGTGCGTATAAGCCAAGCAATAGTCAGTGGGAATGGAATCATCGTGTGGCCTGTGCTTGCTATTGCTAGCAACATCTCGGAAAGGAGGTGGTTCCAGAGGACGAAGACCGGGACGCCGCCGGACGACGGAACGAGGCGTATCAAAGGCAACAAATAAACAGCCATTCAGAGAACGATGTTCCTTCGTGAAACGTAGTTTCTGCGTCTGTGGCTTTGTGCTGTCTGCTAAGTTGTGCGATTTATTTTTCCGTTTTGTTAAGTTAATATGATCGCAATTTGACCCTGGAATCTCTGGTCGTGCAGTGTGAAGTACAACGCCTCGTATGCGTACCACTCCCTCCTTGCCTACTTCGACCGCGACAACGTGGCTCTCAAAGGATTTGCCAAGTAAGCATCATCTCTCTCAGAGCATGATGCCAGGGCCCTATCGGGAGCCCGACAGAGACCTCCGTTGTGGCGGCGGCAACGTCGGACATGGACGAGGAGCTGGAGCGCCTCTCCTCCTGCGCCGTGGTCTTGTGGCTCTGCCGCGACGCGGTTGACGTGGAGCCTGAGACGATCGCCAAGGCACTCCGGGTCCGCTTCGGCGTCCGCTCAGGAGACGTCAAGGTCACGCGCCACCGTCCCGAAGACTTCCTCGCCATCTTCAAATACCCCCACCACCGGGACGCTGCTGTCGACCTTGAGCGACTTCCTCTGGGCAGCATCAACATCCGCATCCGGCCATGGCGAGTGCTCCCCTACAGCGACCACTGCGACATGCGCCACCGCGTTCGACTCTGCCTGGAGGGGATTCCAGTTAAGATGAAAACGGTCGAACTCGGTCGAAAAACTCCTTAACCGTTTTATACTTTTATATTTGAAATACGAAAGCAAAAGCGAAAGTGGACAAGCCAGACACAAAAACGAACACGAACTTACGGAATATCTAGAATTTCGGAAACGAACCAATTCGAGCAGATTTATGTCGAACACGGTCGGTATGCGAAAATTCAATACGAAATACCGACCCACAGTGCATAGCATTAAACAAGTGCACGACCAAATACATAACAAGTTCACAACTAACAAGTGCATGATCTAGTTCAAGTGCATAGCATTAAACAAGTGCACGACCAAATACATAATAAGAGAGATGAGGCTGGGCGTCGTCTATAAGAGAGGGCAGCTAGCCACCAGTAGAAAGAACGCAGCTGCGTGGTGAGCAGCCTGTAATTGGGCTATATGACCTGTGCAGTTGGCCAAATTCGGTTTAAACCGAATTTTGAATTCGGAATATTTCAAATTAAAAGTAGAAAAGTAGAAAACGGTCGAAAAATGTGTAAACCGTCTTTTACTTTTACATTTGAAATACGAAACATCTCAAATGCGAAAGCGAAAACGGTAAAGTCGGACAAGAAAATACGGATTCGATCGGATTAAATATAGAAAACGATGCGGTTCGGTTCGGGATATTTCCGTTCCGTTTTCATCCTTAATTCCAGCACATGCCTGGAACGAGAGCATCGCCAAGCGGGTGGTGGCAAGAGCCTGCGACATCGACTATCTGGAGACGCAGTCCTTGCGCCGCGACGACACCAGGGCCCTATGCATGTGGGCGTGGACGAACAACCCCTCTGATATCCCCAAGGTAACCTGGTTAACCATTACAGGCAAGGCAGTGCAGGTTCATGACGACGTCGCTCCCCCTCGTGGCCGGCGCGGACAAACCTTCAGGGTCCTAGTTCATCTGGACATTCTGGAGCTGCCCCCGAACTCCCATGGGCGAACGGAGGCAAGAGAATTTGTCTGGCGCTATGGGGTGGCGGATGGTGTGCGCACCCCGCGTGACCGCCATGTCCCTCCACCCCCGGACTCCAAGCCATGGCGCCGCCGCGATGACGACAACGATGACGTTCGACGTGGACGCCGCGAAGGCTGCGGTGACAACTGGGCATCCAGGCTGTTCCAGAGCCTCCCTCGTGACCCGGGCCAGGCAAGGGAGAGGGACGCTCCGAATCGCGTCACAGACGGCGGGACAAGTCGTTGGCACCCGGCGGTTGACGCCGGAACATCCAACGTTCGTCATCGCCAGGACCTGATGGCATCGAGGGCCAGGGGCGCCTCAACTCACCCTCGCCATCACGACGTGCGCACTCCGACTCGGGCACGGGGCGCACGCAGCCCACTCCGACGGACCTGGCTCACCCCACCATCCAGCCAGCATGGACGCGGGGGGCCCCCTGTCCCTGGGGTCGGCGGGGAGGACAACGACGCCCCTCGGTCCAGGAGCCTGCTTTCGGGAGCGAGCAAACAGGCCCAACCCAGGAAGCGGCGACCCCTCTCGGGGCACCTCCGGATTCATGGAGCGGTCGTCGCGGGCGCACCCGGGAACATCAGAGCGGGCAACGCTGCAGCGGAAGAGACAACGATAGCAGATCGACACCACCAGTTTCGTGCCTGGCTCCACTGTTCGACTCTGCATTTGCTTCCCCTGAGCCCCCATTGCTTCACAGACACAGGCTGGAAACACCTGCTGATGGCCAGGAACACGGTGAGCCGGTGCTGCCTCTGGCTGCACCGCCTGCAATACCAGGTCCCTCCCCCCACACCGGACACAACCAGGGAGTGCCTAGGGTCTGCTCGGCGCGACACAAAAGATTTCGCCCAGGATGCGTCTACGCTAGACGCCATCCATGCAGGCAGAACGCACCGTCGGCCCAGCCGGTGCAGCAGGGAGCGACGGCGACCTTCATTGACCAGATCACGCAGCCGACACTGGCACCGCTGCTCCAAGCCCCTCGGCATCGACCTAGCCCAGCACGGAAGGGGAAAAAGACCTCAGCACTGCGACGCAAAAGCGTCCGCATCGCGACTTCGTCATGGCCCCAAGGAGACACACACGCAAAGGCTCGCCAAGTGCTCATGAAGAAGCTCGGCGTCATGGAGGAAGGAGACTCGACGGACGACATGCTGCTTAACTACTTCGGACTCTTCAGTGGGCCGCTCTCGGAGCCGGTGATCAAGGCGATGACGGCCTTGTGTGGCCTCGACGGTGGCGCGGTAGCCACCTCCTCCCAGACCTAGAACTCGTGGTGTCTCCATGTCCAGCTGCTATCCAATGGGTTCACAGCCAGCTCCCATGTCACAACGCAACTGTAATATTCTCTGCTGGAACGTGAGAGGTCTTAACGACGTGGCGAGACAAGATGCTGTGAGTCTGCTGGTAAGAGACACGGCCTCCACCATCGTGTGTTTGCTGGAGACGAAGATGCAAAATTTGGATCAAGGTGCTGTCAGACGTACCGTTGGGGCTAAGTTCGCCAACACTTTTGCTGTAGTACCAGCCACTCAGACACGAGGCGGCATTCTTATTGCGGTCAATGAGGATTACTTCCAGCTCTCCGACCAACATTTATCTACACATGTCGTGACTGCAAAAGTCACCATGAGGGCAGATGGAACCAAATGGCAAATTACGATTGTCTATGGCCTGCAGGGAGACGCCGAAAAATTATAATTTCTACAGGAGCTTGCAGCTATTCCTTGCCCGGCCCATGGAAGATGGCTCATCCTAGAAGATTTTAATCTCATCTACCAGGCAGAAGATAAAAACAACTCCAGTCTAAACCGGCGCCTCATGGCCTCCTTCAAAGTGGTCATCGACGACTCGAACCTAAAAGAGATAGGCCTCAACGGACGTCGTTTCACTTGGAGAAACGAGCAAGACAATCCGACATTAACAAGAATCGACATATTATTTTGCACCGCTGATTGGGAATTAACCTTCCCGACATGCTTTCTCCACTCCTTGCCTTATCTCATATCCGATCACACCCCGCTACTCCTGTAGGGAGAACTCGAGCACTGCCACAACCAGACATTCCACTTCGAATTTTTTTGGGTCAAAATGGATGGTTTCAGGGACTTGGTGGAACAAGTCTGGAGTAAACCTGTGCACTCTTTGTTACCCATCAAACGGTTGCACACAAAATTAGCACAAGTGGCCAAAGGCCTTAAGTGGTGGCGCAGGGAGAAGGTTGGGGACACACGGTTGCAGCTGGCCATCATCAAAGAGGTGCTGCTACAACTCAAGGTAGCGCAGGAATTTAGGACACTCACACAGCAGGAACTCGACATGTGCCGGCGTCTAAAAATCAGAAGCACCGGCTTAGCTGCCATTGAAAAGTCAAGGATTAAACAGCGGGCTAGGCTCACATACATCCGCAACGGAGATGTAAATACAAAATTCTTCCACATTCGGGCCAGCACCAAATTGAGGAAGAATTATATCCATTGTCTGCACACAGATGGGAGGGTGGCGACTACACACAATGACAAAGAAAAAATCATCGCGGATTACTTTTCAGCACACCTAGGCTCACATACACCGAAGTCAGACGTTCAGCTGGTCGGCACCCGGTTATGTCCCAAGGGATTTATCGACTCTCAAGGCCCGTTCACGCAAGATGAGATCAAAGAGACAATAAAGTCCATGCCACCCGACAAGGCGCCAGGCCCAGATGGTTTCACGGGTGCCTTCTTCAAAGCCTGTTGGGACACCATCAAAGACGATGTTACTGCTGTGGTGAACAGCCTGTAAATGCTAAACTCCCAAGGCTTTGAGCTCCTAAATACGGCAAACATCATCCTACTCCCAAAGAAAAGGGACACCTTGCGAGTTACAGATTTTCGCCTAATCAGTCTCATTCATAGCATAGAGAAGATTTTTGCCAAGTTACTTGCAAACAGGTTGGCGCCGTTGCTGGACTCCTTAGTTTTGAAATGCCAAAGCGCATTCATCAAAAGGAGGAGCATCCACAACAACTTCCTATATGTTCAAAACACAGTACGGGCAATGCAAAAGATGAAGCTGCCCACGCTGTTCCTGAAACTTGACATACACAAGGCCTTCAATACGGTCAGCTGGAGCTACCTTCTGGAGGTATTGTAGGCCTTAGGGTTTGGACCACACTGGCGGGAGTGGGTATCGATCCTTTTCCGCACGATGTCATCGAGAGCGCTGCTAAATGGACAGCAGGGCCCAGCTTTCAATCACAACAGAGGGGTTCGACAGGGCGACCCTCTATCGCCCATGTTGTTCATTCTCGCTATGGACCCGCTTCAACGCCTGCTAGACATGGCAACACAGCAAGGCGTCCTCTCTGCTATTCCTCTATCTACGGCCAGGTGGAGGACCTCCATGTATGCTGATGATGTGGTTATCTTCATTAACCCGATCAAGGACGACTTGGACTCCATTACGACAATCCTCCAGGAATTTGGTAGGGTCTCAGGCTTACATATAAATCTGCAAAAGAGTTCCGTCCACCCGATCAGATGCCAAGACATCGATCTAGACCATGTGTTAGCCTCCTTTGCAGGGGCAAGAGAATCCTTCCCGTGCCGCTACTTGGGACTGCAGCTCCATACGAGATCCCTGCAAAAGGTCCATGTGCAACCGCTCATTGAACGCATAGGGCAGAGGCTACCTGGTTGGAAAGGTAGAATGCTCAACAGAGCGAGCAGACTTACTTTGGTCACCTCAGTGCTATCCTCGATGCCTACCTATCACCTCATCGTATTCCCTCTGGCGGTATGGGCAAGAAAGCAAATTGGCAAAATCAGAAGATCATTCTTGTGGAAAGGTGATGAGAACTCCAACGGAGGGCATTGCTTGGTAAATTGGCCGACAGTCTGCATGCCAAAAGTTTGAGAGGGTTGGGGGTGCCAAACTTGGAAAATTTTGGAAGAGCCTTGCGCCTACGTTGGTTGTGGCAGGAGTGGGATCATGACTCAAAACCTTGGGTAGGAACGACACTGCCGTGCAATGACCTAGACCGTTTGCTCTTCAGCGCCTCAACAACGATAACAATCGGGAATGGTAACAAGGCACGTTTTTGGCATCACAATTGGCTAGACGGTGAAGCTCCAAGATACCTAGCGTCCTATCTTTTCCAGCTAGTGAGCCGAAAGAACAGGACGGATACTAATGCAAGACAAAATCCTCACGGCGGATAACTTGCAAAAGATAGGGTGGCCACATCATGAGCATTGCGTCTTGTGCAATGGACCTTTGGAAACAGGACCGCATCTATCTTTGCTATGCCCCTTCGCTAAAGCCGTCTAGAACCAGGTGTTATCTTGGGGAATTTTTGATGTGCAATTGCCCCAACAAGATCCCCAGTGCCTGGCCACCTGGTGGGAGGATGTGGCGAGCAAGGTGCCAAAGCAAGAACGTCGAACATTTAATGGAGTGTTCATTTATGTTGTGTGGAACCTGTGGAAGGAAAGGAATAGGAGAATTTTCGAAAATGAGCATAAAACGTCGGAACAGGTCGCCTATCTGGCCAAGGAAGATATTGTTCAGAGACGTAGGGCCATGTGTAGTGCGGGCTAAATCAACAAGTGCATGAGCGGTGGCTTCTATGTGTTGGCTCTATGGCCGGTGTTTGAGTTGGTCCTGTGACCTGGTTTTTTTGGCACCATTGGTGTCTGTACGTAAAACTCTATTTCCTTCTTAATTGAGCGGTAGAGCTCCTGTGTTTGCTTTCAAACAAAAAAAAGGATTTGCCAAGTGAGTCGTCACCTCTCACCAAATTCAGTTACCCATCTGTAAATAAATTACAGCATTACCATTTTATCATTTCCTCTGTAATGATGTGGTTCTGCACATTTGTTTCTCCAGATTCTTTAAGGAATCGAGCGACGAGTTGAGGGAGCATGCTGAGAAGCTCATGAAGTACCAGGTTCGTTCGGTCCTCTTAATTTCTTTGACCCTTTGCTCCGTTCCGTTGTACTCCTATGCTACACACTTGGGGTACTGACGCGGCACTGCATGTGTTTCTGTTGCCGTCAGAACAAACGTGGAGGCAGGGTGAGGCTCCAATCGATTGTGACGCCCTTGACTGAATTTGACCACCCTGAGAAAGGCGATGCTTTGTACGGTGAGTTGCCGTGCATTTCTTTCTTGTTTGCTGATTCTGAAGTGCCTTAGAGGAGTCTGCATGTGTGGTACAGCAGAGGAGGTATGAAAAGCCAACTGTTGTCAAAAAACGTACTTTATTATTCTACAATTTAACCTAGTTGTATGAGTTGCAGTTTTCAGTATATGGATGGATGGTAGAATGAAAGACTGGTAGTGAATAACAATTTAGCACGGCTTATATACAAATAGAAGGCTTGCTATTGTTAGTAAATGTTTGGTTGGTTATCAGCTAGGTTGGTCTTTTCTAGTTTTGTTCATGTTTGACATATTTGGAAAACTAATCTGATAGCTATGTTTTGATCTGTTCCTTTTTTGATTGATTTCAGCTATGGAGCTGGCTCTGGCTCTAGAAAAGCTGGTTAATGAGAAGCTGCACAACCTGCATGGTGTAAGTTGCTTTCACTCACATGCTTATGAAATATTGTGTGCTTTGTGTAAGACATGCTTAAAACATTTATGGGCAAATATAATTTGATTAACTTGAGTCACTACATGTTGTTTGTACACTTGTGCCACGTATAATTTCTAATGAGTTTTCACCTGTAATTAACAGGTGGCAACAAGGTGCAATGATCCTCATCTGACAGACTTCATCGAGAGTGAGTTCCTCGAGGAGCAGGTAAATGCAACCAAGCATATGTTCCCTTTTATGGAACAAAATTATGCAGAATGAAGTTTTGTTCTGTATAGTTTTTGCTCTACTTAAGGTGCAATTCTTAGCTGAACGAAAAAATTGTATTTTCTTTTGAAAGGTGGAAGCCATAAATAAGATCTCCAAGTATGTCGCCCAGCTGAGGAGGGTGGGCAAGGGGCACGGTTAGTCTGTTGTTGAACTTGGTTTTCATCTGCTATGTCTCGTGCCTAAAGTTACCCCTAGTTGATATTGTTGAGATATTGTTGCGTGCAGGGGTGTGGCACTTTGATCAGATGCTGCTTGAGGAAGAGGCCTAAAGGAAGGGCAGACAGCTGCTCAAGGACTAAGCAAGGGGCCTGAAGGAAGGAAAGAAGTGTGAAATGATCTGGTTGAGGAATAATTGGCGGCATGGACCAACTGACCAAGCCCTGGGTGTAGGTGGGATTTGTAGGGGGTTTGTTTTTTCAGTTGGTTAGGGTTTTAGTTGTAGAACAGTGTTGCCCTCCTACAAAGAACATGATGCACTGAAACGCAGTAGAACATGTGGTATTATTGCTGCCGTCAGTTTGGGGTGGTCATTGTTAGAGACGTTACCCTTTGGGGTTTTGATTGTTCAAATAAAACATGGTGATGAATGTGTACTCGGATCTATATGCTACTCTCTTGTGTTGGTCTCATTGGCTTACACATGGTGACACCTTCCTGTGACTTTGCAAGCACCGAGGAGATGATCGTTGTTAGTATTTATTGAGTAAAGAGTTGAGGATTGTTTCTTCTTATTTGTAAATCTGAAGGTAATTCGTCAGAACTGATGGCTATTTACTATCCAGGCAACTACTAGCTCTTTTGAAGGCCCACTTGAAGCAAAGCATCCAATTAGTTGTGTTTAGGTTGCCCTGATGTTTGGTGTCTGTGAATTCATGTTTCTTTTTAACCCCTATAAAATGTGTTGGCCTGTGTCACGACTTGAAGAGCCTTGGGAAGAAGAGCCAGGAAGCAAGCCTGGAAGCTGCGGAGGCTGGAGAAGAAGTTAGTGAATAATGATTGGGCTGAGATCGTAATGGGCTTTGGAAAACCGGATGGAAACCCAAAGGAGTGGCCCAGCTGTGTGGCTAAGGATGAAAACGGTCGAACTCGGTCGAAAAACTCCTCAACCGTTTTCTACTTTTACATTTGAAATACGAAAGCGAAAGCGAAAGCAGCGGACAAGCCGGACACGAAAACGAACACGAACTTACGGAATATCTAGAATTTCGGAAACGAACCAATTCGAGCGGAATTATGTCGAACACGGTCGGTATGCAAAAATTCAATACAACCAACAGCACTAAAAGCAGACTCGGATGCTACTGTTGATACTTAGCAATTCTTTGTGCAAATCTAACTAATTTATTTCCATGTGTACATCTCACATGTGTACCTAGCAATTCTCGAGTGCTACAGCAGCTGACGTGTGGGGCCAGTCAATGATCAGGGCTGACTTGCACTATGCCATACACCGATTTGTGCACTCGCCCTATGTCCCTTGGTTCCATGTGGACCGGGTGTATGGAGGTAGGAGGATGGGAGCAGAGCCACTGTCGTGCGGGGCCCACGGGGCGAGATGGCGAGCCCTCATTGGCCAAGGCGACGTGGCCGGCTCCCTCGGATTCCATCGCCTGGCGGTCCGTCGTCATCTCCCCACCGCGCGGTCAACGAAGGAAGAAACAGAGAGGAGCGATAGAGAGACAGGGAGAGAGGGAAGGAGAGAGAGTCGGGCGAGGCGGAGAGAGAGCGCCTGCCGTCGGTGCTGGTGGCGGCGGCAGAGGGCGTCCTCAGCTTCTTGCGCAACAAGAGCAGAGAGACGGAGGGAGTTGGGCGCCAGTGGAGTCTGCTCTCGGCGGCGCTGGGTGGAAAGCAAGGCAGGGCAGGGCAGCGGTAGCGCGCGGTGCAGGGGACAGGGGAGCGGAGCAGAGGGGAGCTGGTGGCGGTGGCGCGGCGCTCCGGCAGCGGGCAGCGCGGCAACGGCGGGTGGAAGCAGAGGCAGGGGAAGAGGAAGGGCGAGCTCCTGGTGGTGCGCTGCGAGCGGCGGCGGCGGCGAGCTCCCGAGGGTAACCTTCGCTTGCTGGACCAAATTCGGTTCGAACCGAATTTAGAATACGGAAGACTCCGAATAAAACGTAGAAAACTAGAAATCGGTCGAACAAAGTCTAAACCGAATTCGATCCGATTTCGAATTTAGTATTCCGTATTTCGAATTCGAATTTAGTATTCCGTATTTTGTCCAAAAATACGAATTCGCTCGGGTCAAATGTAGAAAACGATGCGGTTCGGTTCGGGATATTTCCTTTCCGTTTTCATCCTTATGTGTGGCCTGGCGTGTGTGTGTGATATATGTGCCGCAACCGCAACGACGTGTAAAGGATTTGCGTAACCGTCGTATCTCGTATCCACTCTGTTCTTCTTGGTGGTTGGTTTCGCCTCCTATACTTTAGTCGCTATCTTATCAGATGTTTGATACATTTATGGTGTATTAAATATAGACTATTTACGAAACTAAATGCACAGATTGAGACTGTTTTGCGAGACGGATTCTTAAGCCTAATTAGTCTATGATTTGACAACGTGGTGCTACAGTAAATATGTGCTAATGACGGATTAATTAGGCTTAATAAATTTGTCTCGCGGATTACTGACGAATTCTGTAATTTGCTTTTTATTAGTATCCAAACACCTATACGACACCTCCATGTGACATCTCTAAACTTTAGTTCCTCACTCCAAACACCTATACTGAGATCCACTCATCCAAACACCTATACGACACCTCCATGTGACATCTCTAAACTTTAATTCCTCACTCCAAACACCTATACTGAGATCCACTCCCCAAATCTCTATCCAGATACTTGAGTTCCCTGGTAGTTTCTGCTTCACATATGGTGTGCCCTGTCTTCAGTCGGCTAAATTGTGCCATCCTTTCTGTTCTTTGTACGGTCAGTAGTTTTCTGCGGCCGGGTCTTTTCTATGTGAGATTGCTTGATAGCTGCATCCGTACGTTTTACTGTATGTTTTCAGGCTTCTGATGGGACATCTCAAAAAATAAACTGAGGGGCTGCCTGTGATATTACTTTAGTGAAGTAAAAGAAAGTTTGCTATCGTTGCAGCCGGTTTGTATGTGTGTGCACAAGCGAGCTGCCCTTTGGAGAAAGGTTTAATCCTTGGAGGTAAAGCTCAGTGCTCCTTTGTTCTTTGGGTACCGTTGCAGGCAAAGGGTCCAATACCTATTTTTGTCTTCTTCAACAACCAGACCCAAAAGACAACCCTTTCTACAAATAGGTCTCTAGGAGAGAGAATACTCAGATTTGGGTATGCCTCTCCTGACACTCAAAATAGATCTTCTATATAGGTACTCTGTTGGAGGCTATATGTATTATGTTGGAGACTCATTTTGGGTTTGGGTTCCACAATAAGTCTCCTGTTGGAGACACCCTAAGTCTTTAGATACTTGTAGGCTTCGTTCGTTGTGGATCTGCTTGAATTAGAGGGAATCCATCTGAGTTAGATCTTGTTGATGGGTTCTGGTAATCTGTATGTGTGATGGTAAGAACTAGGGCCTTTGTTTAGAATGTGGGATTTTTTTTTCCTATTCCTACTTTTTTTTGTACAAAATTGAATTGAATGTTGTAAAATTCCTATGCAATTTCTCTGAGATTCCTACATTCCAAACGGACCCTAAGAAGGCTAGCTTTGCATGGAGTAAGAGGCCTTAGATTCAGACCTAGACAACGTATGCGTGGGTCTTGTGTAGATGCCTCCTAAAATGGTTCCTTATTCTGCCATCAAGGGTACCAAAGCATTTTGAATATGTCTCTGGCTTGGCTGCAAGGAACCTAAATGTACTCCCACTGTCCTAAAAAGAAAGTCATTCTCGTTTTATGAGGAGACAATGAGTTTTAAGTTTGATCAAATATATAAAAAAAATCGAAGCTACTAAGAATAAATTCATTTATGATAACTCAATGCATAAAGGGCAAGCTAGGTTTTGATAGGACTAGCATAACCTTTTGTCGGACTTGGCAGGCACATGATAACATTATTAGGCTTGCTCCAATAGGGTGGTGACATCGCCAACATATGCGTTGAGAGAGAGAGAGAGAGGGAGAGTAGGCAAGTGCTTCAGGAAATGTGCGGTGAGAGAGAGGAGCATTCAGAAACATGCGAGGTCGGCACTTTGCTTTGCGCTAGGTCGCTAGCACACCAATTGCATTGTTTATTCATCGAATAAAACATTATTTTGGATGACAACGTAGCTAGCCATTGGAGGATGCCTTAGGTTGCAGGGATAAGAGGCAGGGACTGAGTCCATCCCAAATTTTTAGGAGAGGATGATCTCATATCCTATTTGTTTCATGAGATAGAGACATTCTTATTTTGCAGTTGGTAGGCAGGATGGGTGGGAGAGGATGGAAGTTCTCTCTTTTTGGCCAACATCATTAACGTGGCCTCGGCACTATCATCCTCTTCCTTGCCCACACCGGCGCTATCTTTACCACACACCTACTCTCCGCCACCCCCACTGAGCTTGCCCCCTATCACCTTCCTCTCCTCCTCCTTCACTTTCGAGGCTAGGTCACAGCCTCAATCTCCTCCTCCATCACGCCGGCGAGGACAAGCACTCGAGATGGCCCTCTCCCCCCTCCTCTGCAAATGCTACAAACACGGAAACACCGAAAATGATCAACTCAATTTTATATAAATAGATCTTGGTGTGTATCCTGTCGTTGTCATGGTCTGAATAGGCAAACATACATGGCACGATCCTACAATTTTTTTAATTCGGTGACTGAATTCAATTCAACACCTCTAGGGATAGAAGCTCTATAGAAGCAATATAAGATGACAATGACACAAAGTGTACAACTATCTTAATAAGTTATCCTACCAAAAGAAATCACGGTTCCACTAGTGCAATGTAAGACAACCAAGAAAAAAAACAAAAAAAAACGCTTCATCGATGCCATAGTTACTAGAGGGTAATAGAAAGAGCATTACAAATGGAAGCACTACCTAGTAGGGCATCAATCACAATCCATGCTCCATGCTCAATGATCCATGATGCCTAGTGGCTACCGCAATTTACACATACAATTTTTCTGTAGAGTAGCACGAAGAATTGTGATTTCTTAAGTGTAATTAGTAGCTTCAACACTAATAACAGAGCACATACATAACATGGAATTGTGACTACAAGAAGTTAACTAGGAGATTACCAAGCTGCCGGATCCAAAACTTGAGGATGCATCCATGGGAGACGATGACAAAAGTCAATGCAAAGCTGACAATGGAAGTTTGGACATCGGTGAAGCCGCGGTTGGCTCTTGTCAACCCATCAACTGCATTATTACTCTTGCCGATGAAACCATTGCAATAGAAGATTGCAGGGAAGAGTACAACTACCGGCTACCGTCGATGCGGAGAGGTTATGTGTGGTTTAATATCCATATATTAAGTATTCATTACTAGATTTTTTTTAACCAAGACAAATCACCTCCAAAACCTCTTCAAAAGAAACCAGGAGTTAATTTGAATGGGTTTGTGAGCCTTGGGAGTAAGATGTTGGTTTCAAAGTTCCATAAGAAAAATCAGATTACGACGATAGTCTAGGAAGGTAAAATAGATTTTCACCAAAACAAAATGCAAGCTTTTATCTCCAAGGGGACAAAAACTTTTGAGAAGTAAATAAAATTCAATCCCCTTGTACATGTAGTACTCCAAGTAGGCCGTCGTTTATGCAACACTAGTAGAAAATTTACCTAATCGGCTAATCCATCCATTGCACATACTGTACTTGTAGTTTGGTTTTCTTTACGCCTCTAGTATAAAAGGCGTGTTCGGTTAATCGGTTTTTAGATTATTTTGGCTAATTCAATAATATTCTATGAGAGAGAATAAGCTAAAACAAGCTGAATCAAGTTGAGGAGAACAGGCTGAATAATATGAAACCGTAACCTACCAGTCCCACGTGATCGTACAGCTGGCCCACTTTGCAGCCTCCTTTCCCCCCCGAGATTGGACACCTCTCCGGGGAGGGCGGCGAACCAGATTCTCGTTTCGGCGCCGGCAAGGAAAGCACAAGTTTGCAGACACTGCCAAGTGGGCCCATGGCCTACCTGTCACCTCCACGAGAAGCTTCGCGGCGCCAACAGAACAACGGCCGCCATCTTTTCCAATTTAGCCCTCCGTCTCTCTCTCTCTCTCTCTCTCTCTCGCACCCCTCCCCCTCCGTCCTCAAAACCCAAGGCCAGACAAGAGCTGAAGCAGAGCGGAGGTCTGCTCGCCGGCCATCGAATCCAGCTCCTCCAAGGTGAGATCTCTCCCCTCCGAATCCGCCCTGCCACCTCTCCCTCGCGCGCTCCCCGCCTCACCTTGGCCTGTCCCGATCCGCGCAGGCTCCGCCACTTCCCCCGGCCTCCGCACGACCTGGATCTGACGCGCCTGCCCCTGCCGCCGCCGCCCTCCGCCTCCTACCTCCTCGCGGCGGCGGCCGTGCTCGCGCTCCTCGGCGGCCTCCTACTCTATATGCTTCCCCGGAAGCGGGGGGTCGACGCCGGCGAGGTCCAGGACTTGCACAACAAGGCCCCCCGCGCCGCCGCTCCAGCCCAGGACAAGAACAAGGAGGTTGCGGAGATGGATGGCAGGGCGCCCGAGATCGATGAGGACCTCCACAGCCGCCAGCTCGCCGTCTACGGGCGCGAGACCATGAAGCGTCTCTTTGGCTCCAACGTCCTCGTCTCTGGACTCCAGGGACTAGGCGCTGAGATCGGTATGTCTGCTCATCACAAATTTCGAGCTTATGTAAGGACAGTAATACGTTGAGAGATAAAGCCCAATTGGTTGACCTTAATTGTGAGCTTTTAATTCCTTGGCCGATCTGATGTCGCAATAAATTGATGCTTTACTTTCCTTGTGTAATAGTAAGATGCTGCCACCAGATGGTGTGCTGTAGGATTTCATATGTACTTTCTGCCTCAATAAGTCAATTCTCACCACACCTCCCTTCGCTCATTGTCACCAGATAGGACAAACTTCTCATTGATTTGTTTCCATGTTTGTATAAACACTTCAATAACATTTCAACTTGTACAACAGAAAGCTTATCCTAAACTCTTCAATTCTTCTACAAGCAGTCTTATGGATGCATTAAATATTCAAACCATCAAGTTGTACACAGCGATGCCCCTAAGCAAGTTTCAGAATGTTAGTATGTACACACCTTATGATGTCAAAGCTTTCTGCACCGCGCATGTGCATTAAGCTCACCCTGTTTTGGTCCTCAGTACCAATTGCTGCCCTGAAGCTGCACCAGGTTGTTGGTCAGTTAGGTCTCCTGTGTCACTTGGCCAAAGGATTGAACATGTTTTATCGGCAAATGGTAGTTAGCCTTGTTGCTTTCTAGAATTGGATTTATGGTGTACTGCTTTTAGTCACCGGTGCAACATGTGAGCTTCAGATCTAAAGACAAAACATTTTTCCCCTGGTGTGTTAGTTCTTTTTATTGCATCGATGTTTAGCAGTCAGTATATCCTGTTTAACTTGTGAATTTTAAATTGTTTATGAGAATTCAGATTATATCTTTTGCTCTTTCTACTTGTATACATGATTTGCTTATGGCCATTTAATTTCTGCAGCAAAAAACCTTGTTCTTGCGGGTGTCAAGTCTGTAACCTTGCATGATGATGGCAAAGTCGAGCTATGGGACTTGTCAAGCAACTTCTTCCTCTCAGAGAAGGATGTTGGGCAAAACCGTGCTCAAGCTTGTGTTCCAAAGCTACAGGAGCTTAACAATGCTGTCATCATCTCTACCATAACTGGTGATTTGTCCAAGGAGCAGCTTTCTAACTTTCAGGTACATGAGCATGAAATGATCTGTGGTTTGCTTAGGTGTTTTATTGTAAAAAATGTTTTTAGACTCTGCAAATTGACCAACAAACAGGTTAAATATTATCAGTAAAGTGACAAAAAAAAGTCAATACAAATTCCAATTAACAATATATTGAAAGAGAAGTTTATGTTCAAATATACGTCCTAGAAAACAAACAGTGCCGTGTGAAACACGCCTATAAAAAAATGGGCAGAGGGAGTACTTTAAAGTTTCTGTTAATGTTTCAACTGCTTAGTAGAAAAGCCACTAAATGGTTTATCAGCAATTCAGCATCTGTTCTGCTGACACACATATCAGTTCAATGCATTTTCTTATTGCATATAATCTGCAATGCTAGCATTGTGCACAAATGGTTTTATCTGTTTGTCTAGGTTTATTGAAGTTCCAAGCCATGTTCCTGGCTCAAGTGGTGTAAATTATTTTTGCATGATACACTTATGTTATGTTTGGGTGAGCTCCATTGGTTCTGGGTCGTTTTCTCCATTTTTTCGTGGAGCTTGAGCTGGGGGGGTTGATTGGGGGTATTTGGGTGAGTCATCTGCTTCCTAATTTAGGTTAGGTTGATGTTATATGAAAATTCTGGAGCTGGAGCTCTCCCAAAGACATCACTTGAAAATATTTTGCTTGTGAAAGGGGCTTAGTTGATTTAATGTATTGCATTTTATGAAATATTTTAATATATGCTTCTTGATTTAGACTGTTTAAAAATTTGGTTGCTGCATATTCTCGAACTGATAACTTCCTGGTCAACTTACAGGCTGTGGTCTTTACTGATATCAGCATTGAAAAAGCAGTTGAGTTTGATGATTACTGTCATAGCCACCAGCCACCAATTGCTTTCATTAAGTCGGAAGTTCGTGGCCTTTTTGGCAGTGTTTTCTGTGATTTTGGTCCTGAGTTTACTGTTTTGGATGTCGATGGTGAGGAACCACATACAGGAATTGTGGCATCAATCAGCAATGACAACCCAGCAATTGTTTCTTGTGTGGATGATGAGCGTTTGGAGTTCCAGGATGGTGATCTAGTTGTTTTCTCCGAAGTGCATGGAATGACAGAACTCAATGATGGAAAACCAAGAAAGATTAAGAATGCAAGGCCTTATTCTTTTACTCTAGAAGAAGACACCACCTCATATGGCACTTACATTAGAGGCGGTATTGTCACACAGGTGAAGCCACCAAAGGTTCTTAAATTCAAATCCTTGAAGGAGGCAATCAAGGAGCCAGGAGAATTTCTCATGAGTGATTTCTCCAAGTTTGACCGCCCACCTCTTTTGCATTTGGCCTTCCAAGCTTTGGACAAGTTCAGGACTGAGTTGACACGATTCCCTATTGCTGGGTCAGCTGATGATGCACAGAAGCTGATAGATCTTGCTATTAGTATTAATGAAACTCTTGGTGATAGCAAGCTTGAAGAAATTGACAAGAAGCTCCTGCAGCATTTCGCAAGTGGTTCCAGGGCTGTTTTGAATCCTATGGCTGCAATGTTTGGTGGTATTGTAGGTCAGGAGGTTGTTAAAGCATGCTCAGGGAAATTCCATCCACTTTACCAGGTATGACTGTTGCTTCTTTCTTTAATTATATATAGTATGGTATTCTATATTTCTGTTTTCCCTTGTCACAAATGATAGATGTTTTAGACAAGATCCGATCAAACTTCTGAACTTTTAAAGTCTATTAACTTATAAAATATATTTAGTTTGGAAACATTAAAGGTCATATGTGTAGATTTTCCTTGAAGAGAACTTCCATAATATCCTAAATTCATTAGAATATATCCTAATAGAAAATTGTAGCCAAATTTGCATCTTGGGGACTGTATAAGTTAAAAATTGTTTGAGAATATTTGACTGGAGAGTATATGTTTGCAGATAATTTGTAATATTAATGTGCGGATTTGATTTTACAGTTCTTCTACTTTGATTCTGTCGAATCTCTGCCAGTTGAACCGATGGAGCCTAGTGATTTGAAGCCAGAGAACAGTAGATATGATGCACAAATTAGTGTCTTTGGGGCTAAACTTCAAAAGAAACTGGAGCAGTCAAAAATCTTCATGGTTGGTTCTGGGGCTCTTGGATGTGAATTCTTGAAGAACCTTGCGTTGATGGGTATTTCTTGCAGTCAAAATGGGAAGCTGACTGTGACAGATGATGATGTTATAGAGAGAAGCAATCTGAGTCGCCAGTTTCTCTTCCGTGACTGGAACATTGGACAGCCCAAGTCCACAGTTGCTGCAACTGCTGCTATGGCAATTAATCCTAAGCTTCATGTGGAGGCCCTTCAGAACAGAGCAAGTCCTGAGACTGAAAATGTGTTCAATGGTGCCTTTTGGGAGAGCTTGGATGCTGTTGTTAATGCATTGGACAATGTCACTGCAAGAATGTACATTGACTCCAGATGTGTATATTTCCAGAAGCCACTTCTTGAATCGGGTACTCTGGGTGCCAAGTGCAACACACAGATGGTCATTCCTCTCCTAACAGAAAACTATGGGGCATCCAGAGATCCACCAGAAAAGCAGGCACCTATGTGCACTGTACATTCATTTCCTCACAATATTGATCACTGCTTGACCTGGGCTAGGTCTGAGTTTGAGGGTCTACTTGAGAAGACTCCCACCGAAGTAAATGCTTTCCTGTTGAACCCCGGTGGATATGCAACCGCAGCAAGAACTGCTGGTGATGCACAGGCTAGGGACCAACTTGAGCGAGTTATTGAATGCCTTGAGACAGACAAGTGTGAGACATTCCAAGATTGTATTACCTGGGCCCGTCTTAAGTAAGTTGTGCACCCCTTCTCTACCCCTTGCACCATTGTTGCTTAATTTGCATAGTTGATCTTGGAGCTGCATGCACCAGCTTAGTTTCACATTTATTTCACTGCACTCTCGTTGAACTAGTATTGGTCTAATGATTCTCGCTCCTCTGTTTTTTGTTGATGGTTTATATTAGGTTTGAGGATTATTTCTCCAACCGTGTAAAGCAGCTGACATTCACTTTCCCTGAAGACGCAATGACTAGCTCTGGTGCTCCTTTCTGGTCTGCTCCTAAGCGGTTCCCGCGACCTCTGGAGTTCTCATCTTCCGACTCAAGTCACCTTAATTTCTTGTTGGCTGCTTCTATATTAAGGGCAGAGACATTTGGAATACCCATACCTGATTGGGCGAAAAACCCAACGAAACTGGCTGAAGCTGTAGACAAGGTCATTGTTCCGGATTTCCAACCAAAACAGGGTGTTAAGATAGAGACAGATGAGAAGGCTACTAGCCTTTCCTCTGCGTCTGTTGATGATGCTGCCGTCATTGAAGAGCTTATTGCGAAGCTGGAAGCAATTTCTAAAACATTGCCACCAGGATTCCATATGAACCCTATACAGTTTGAGAAGGTTAGTAGATCCAGTTAATCACTTCTAAAACCTTCTGTACCGTATAGCTTCTGTTAGATGCCTAATTTCTTTTAGCTGTTTCTTGGTGGGTATCCATGTCTCTAGGATGAAAACTATTATACATCCAGAAGTTCAATGCTGAGTAATTTTCTTATATGCAGGATGATGATACCAATTTCCATATGGACTTGATTGCTGGTTTTGCCAACATGCGGGCTAGGAACTACAGCATCCCTGAAGTTGACAAGTTGAAGGCAAAGTTCATAGCTGGAAGAATCATCCCAGCCATCGCCACCTCAACTGCAATGGCCACTGGCCTTGTCTGCCTGGAGCTTTACAAAGTTCTTGCTGGTGGGCACAAGGTTGAAGACTACCGGAACACATTTGCGAACCTCGCAATCCCCCTCTTCTCCATGGCGGAACCTGTGCCACCCAAAACCATGAAGCACCAAGACATGTCGTGGACTGTCTGGGACCGTTGGACCATAACTGGCAACATCACGCTGAGGGAGCTCCTGGAGTGGCTCAAGGAGAAGGGCTTGAATGCATACAGCATATCCTGTGGGACCTCGCTGCTGTACAACTCCATGTTCCCTAGGCACAAGGATCGGCTGGACAAGAAGGTGGTGGATGTGGCCAGGGAGGTGGCCAAGGTGGAGGTGCCTTCGTACCGCCGCCATCTGGACGTTGTGGTGGCCTGTGAGGATGACGACGACAATGACGTCGACATCCCGCTCGTGTCCATCTACTTTCGGTAAAGAGGGGCTTGCTGCCCGTTTACATGATCCTGTGCGATATTTGTCAGAAGGATCGAGTGTATAAGTTGCAAATGCAGCCATGAACTAGATTCGGTTTAAGCGTAGAGTTGGCTGGGAATTGTCGCTTAGATTTGGGTCACCGTTATGGAATTCTTGAGCATAACATCATGATAGTTAATGCATGGTCCTGTTGTCGCTAAATGTTGCCTTAGTACTTGAAAATGCATGTGACAGTGTGACGTTATTCTGGTTGCGATTTCTGTGATGTAAGTGCGCTGTTTCCTGGCATAGCGAATATGTGTTGGTGGCATGTCGTGCTCACTTTAAAATTTGGGGACTACAGGCCTTCAACCTTTGATGGTGGTGTTGCATGAGGATGTGCTTGCAACGATCCACATGGGTGCGTGCACAACAATGTATGATTTTGTGATGGTTACGGGTTGGGGGAGGCAGATTGTGGGGTTGTGCTGCTGTAGCACGTTTGGGTTGTCTAAATGCTTGCCATGGACAAGCACGAGCTAACCACGTGTAAGTGTCGTGTGATGCACATGCGCTTGTTTCTAAACAACTGCTGTACCAACTTAATAGGTAAGTGTTTGGCCTGGCCAGATAAAGGCATGAAATCATATGCGTGAGATATGGGCAGGGCAAACAGAGAGGAAAAAGAAAACCCAATAAGATGCCTAAATATGCAGAGAAGCACAGACAAAAAAGGAGGACCTTAATGTAAAAATTAAAAAATCTCAGGACCTGAATGTAAGCACAGACAAAAAAAGGAGGACCTGAACGCTAAAAACATATGCAGAGAAGCACAGACAAAAAAGGAGGATCTGAATGTAAAAATTAAAAAATCTCAGGACCTGAATGTAAGCACAGACAAAAAAAAAGGAGGACCTGAACGCTAAAAAGATGGGGTGTTGCGAGAATCGAACTCGCGACCTCTCGCACCCGAAGCGAGAATCATACCACTAGACCAAACACCCAGATGCTGGTGTTTGCATCAGTCAATTTTTATTAAACCAAACATTGAAATGCAGGACACAGGAGATGACCCGCTTCATGGGTTTGATGACCCAATCCTAGTGCCATGTGATTTTGGAACATGCGTGACCCACACACATGTTGAATTTAATTCTGCATGTTCTCTAAACATGATATGAGATGAACAGCCTACCGCTTATGCATGATGACAATGACATACGCCATGAAATATGCAACACGAACCTTCCTCACAACTCAATCTAATCTTTTCTTGAGAGAGTAATATCACCACATACAAAATTCTCACCACTGTTAGCCTAAACACTCATTTATACCGCCTAAACATTGTGTAAACTTCACGTGATGGTATGCCATTTCTATTTAATTGGACTGTTAATCCCATGTAATTGGCCATTCAATCCGTTTAAATATATAGCTGATTGGCTAATTGGCTAATCTAAATAATAGCTAAATGGTAGGTGACCGTTTTATTATTTAATTAACATTTAAGAAACACAATAACTCAGGTTAGTTTATGATCTTTACTAAGCCAAATAGTTCATTTCTGAAATTAGCATCAACAAAACGAGCGTATATCTAATAGAAAAGCTAAAATAACTTATAATTATGAATGGAGGAGGTAGCAATCAGATGTGTCTTTATATCCATGCTAGTTGCTTGTGTTAGCAGAGATAAATTTGGCAAACAGAGGCCTGTTTTTCCCATCATTTAATTTGCATGGAGAAGAGGATGGTAAAGATGAGGTCATCATCAAAATACCAGGTCAATCCATGCCACCAATCCAGCCCATCATTTTGTGAATTGACTTGCTCTGGTACAGTAACATCAATGGTTAAGTGAAGATGGGAATAGTACAGATTGTCTCTCTAATGTATAGACACATCAACTAATAGTGTAGAAAAGAAAAATCAAATGCACACATCAGCTGAGTAAATTTAACGAGGAGCGGCGTGAGGAGACGATTTCCTGCACACATCACCATCATATATTATATATCTATATATTAGGGTTTATTCAAATGGTGTCATTACAATTCTTCGAGTTTTAAAAAAATACCATTACTATTCGTGATATTGTAAACATGCCATTATAATTCGTGTTGAACATGAGAAATGCCATTTGTACGCTTTCAACGACCTATGTCCTACCTGCAGATGTATGTACTTTCGTATGTCCCAAAATACCCCTACTACAACCCCTCTCTCATCTCAATGACATGCGAGGCCCAGACGTCATCCCCTCCACATGTCTTCTCCTTCCTCCAGCTCAGCCAAACCTCCACAAGGCCAATGGGCAATGGTCGGCGAGGGGCCCGGAGAATTGTAATGGCATCTTTCGAATTAACCCTATATTATACGTGGCTTGGAGTTTGGAATCACCTCAGCTATATGGTATTTTTTAGATAACAAAAAAATATGGTTTCAATCTTCCACTGATCGGTCACTGCCCAAAAATTAAACCCAGTATAGACTTATAACTAAAGTCTAAAAGACCATTCAATCGATACGAAAAACTATATGGCTCTTGATTCTAGTAGCTTTCAAGCATCAAGAATCCGTTCCTTGCCTTCATCCAAGTGTTGTAATAGAGTTCAAATTTGTAGCAAATGTATCCTTTGAAAAGAATTTGAATTTTTTTTGAGCGACCTTTATCAAACAGCACGTCGTTCCTTGTTATCCAAATTGCAGAACAAAAGCAGTGGCCCAGTCAATAATGTTTCTAACCCTCCAAGTTCGACTAATTATTGAAGAAATAGTTGGTGTGTCTTGGTGGTTTTGATGCCAAAGAAAACAAACATAACACAACAAATAAGAATAAGAATAAATCAAACGTTTTAGGTCTGATAAAAAAATAACAAGTCTTACTACCATTCTAATATATGGTATTTGTATTGAGTCTACTCAATCAATCAATTAAATTATTTGACACGGTCCATAGCTATGGTGACTAGTGACTCACAAAGACATGAGGTAGGTGATATGCAAAATTGGCACGAAATTGCGAAAACGGGTACAGTCTACCTCTCAGCCCATTCATATAGTAGTTACATCTTCACTATTAATACATGGTCCACTTATCTCTCTCACAAAGTTTCTTAATTCTTGTGTCAAGCCCGCTGTAAACTTTGCAGCCCGCTTCTCCTCTCTCTCCTCCACCTTATCATACAGCCCTTTACTATACTTACTTGCTCTAATAAACCTTTGTTTGAGTCTCCAACACTCTTAGGTGCTCATACTTTTAGTTATTTTTTTTTTTTTTATTTTAGGGTTAATGTAAGATACGTCGGCAAAGTCCCTTAAAGACGTTTATATAGATAATAAGGTGTGTAAACAATGTATTCATAGAAGTAAATACGCATGCACATACATCAATGTCTATGCTTGCACTGTGCTTGGTTTAGCGAAAATGTCTGAATGTCCATTAGAGTAGAACACGTCAAAGGTAGCAGTAGTACCGAAGTTACGTGTAACATCCACCAAACCTACTAGGCGTTGAATCCTGGATAGACTTGGCATGTGTCTACAAAATTGTCGAAGGTCACTGCCTACGATAGGTTCTTGGCGAGTCACGTTTGGTGGTCCATATAATTAATTAATAATTAGTGAAGAAAAGGAAATTTCCATGTGTTGGACGGGCAACCAGTGAGGAAGCAGCCCAGATGGGAGATGGCTACTGCATCTCGTAGCGTATCTGGCTGCCCACAAACGGACGGAGACGGACAGACAGACATCCTCCAAGCTCCAAACTCCAGTCCACCGGATTGCATGCACTTCAATATCCTGTTGGGGAGCTTTACAGGTACGGGAAGAGAAGATCCTAGTTGTTCCTTTGGCTTCTCCAGTTCCTTCGTTTGATCCCCAGCAAGACATATATAGCTGCTTGCTTTTGCTCTCTCCTGAATTCCTGATTGGTGTTCCTTTGCAGCTTGCTCCTGAAGAACCTGGAGGAATGGCAGGATGGGGGCTGTAGATTGGGGCGGGCATCCTCCTGACTCCTAGGCAAGCTTCTCTTTTGCTGCCGGGTTTGGCTTCTGTGAATCCTTCCCGCTGTCCCTGTTCTATCTTCCGATATATTCTTCAATATTCCACCTGACCGGAAATCCCATCTAGCTTAGACACACGAGTGTGGATTCTTTACTTCCACAGCTGCAGTTCTTGGATCCTCCACTACTTTTCTGCCTCCTTTTCCCCCCACATGTTTGTCATCTTCCATCCTGAAAACTAAAGCACTACAACGTCCCTTTTATGATATCTTGCAGGGGAGGGGATAAAACAAATGGAGGTTATTCGATTATGGCATCTCGATTCGTTTCTTGCGGTGGTACGCAATCCAATCAAATCCAATCCGTGTGTGTGACCCTCGCACAGTGTGAGCTTTCCGACATCGCTAAGCTTACTTGTACAGTCAGTCAGTCACCAGGCTTTACAGGTAAACTTGATGGTGGTGGTGGTGCCCCTCTTATTCTCTCAGCTCCCTTGTTCTCACTCTCTCTTTTAACATCCTGCAGTAGGAAGAAGAGAAGAGGTTTGGGCTCTTCTTTGCCTCGGCTTGGGGACACACAGAAATGGTGGGCATACGCAGCATCAGAGCTGCTGCCTACTTCTTCCTCTTCTCCTTGCTTGTGTCTCAGAGGCTTGGTTCTTGTGCTTCCACCAACGAACAAGGTGGTAGCAAAGAATGTTGATGGGGCAATATTAAATTAAAACAGATGAGAAACTAGGTTCTTGGAATGGATTCGTGCCTAAGCAAATTCTAGTGGTGTTATTTTTCAGGGAGACCTCTTTTGAGATTTGGAGATAGCGTAGCAGGCGATCCTACTGGATCTTCGTCTAATCGGGGAGTGAGTTGCTCAGATGATGGCAAGGTGGTGGAGTTGTAAGTGCTGCTCTCGTTTAACCTTCAGTTTTGCTTCAGCAAATCTCAGTCCTTAGTAGATTCAGAGTTCAGGGTAAAGTGTCTCTGTTGCAAATTGAATGTATTATAAGGGCCTATTTGGAAAGTAAATGATTTCATAGGAATCGTATAGGAATTTCACAGGAATCAGTTCAATTTCATAACAAAAACACAAGAATAGGGAAACTTTCGTGTGTTCCAAACAGGGCCTAAGTACCCCTGATTTAAATCACTCTTGCAACAGGTCCTTGTCTCATTTTTCTATCGCCCACTGTTGTAAGTTTTAGGTTCCAGCACCAGGTATTAGTCAAATCAGACAATTCTAGAGTAAGCTATGCTTGTCAAAGGAGAGTTTTGACTTTTGAGCATTTCTTGATGCTCCTTTTTTTTGCTTTCGAATATGTTAATCTGTATATGTTTACTTGGTGTGATTCAGACACAAAAAGTAAGTTTCAAATAAGAAACAGATATAAAATCTTAATTAGATCAAAGAAAGAGTCTGCACTGCTAATTTTTGTGGGCCTAGATTTTTTTATGGTGACTTGCAAACTCTGGAAAGGGCCTAGAATTTTTTATGGTGACTTGCAAAATCTGGAAAGGCTAAGTCAAACTGCCATCAGAAACAACGCTCGTCAGAGAAAAAAATTCTTCAGATCTATTATGAAAAAAGTGCCAAGCAAAAATTAAATCCTGATAATTTCAGCAGTTGTCGATACATAATCTAAAATCATATGATGACCTCTGCAGCTTACCCAAGGGTTTCAAGTTATCTGGTGAATTGCCATCTGACTTGCACAGACATACAGAGATGTCAGACGGCATATCTGATGAAGCGCTGCAATCATGCAGGAAAACCTTAACAAAGTCAGTCTTCTTTCTTTTACTACATGTAGTTTCCTAACCGTCAATTACAACTTCACTAAGTTCACTCCTTAGCTTGTGTACGATTATTCATCCATGGCGCTAACAGTAAACAAAACAATCAGGGGTGTTATCCAGAGACGACTCCAAAGCCCAGAAGCAAAGGCACATCATGTTGATCCTTCATCTTCATCCAAGTCTTTACCTCACTGGGCAATCTACACAATAGCCATCGGTGGAGCACTTGTCTTTGTGGCTGCAGCTGCTGCCACTGTGTATCTACTCTTCTCTCGTCGAAAGAAGGATACCACTGTCATGCCATGGTTTACTGGGCTCAGTGGACCACTCAGTAAAGCCTTCGTGGCAGGTCAGTCTCTCACCATCAGGATCTTATGGGTTAAACCAAATGGGCACAATTCATCAGAGTACCCCTAATTTCATCAGGCTGCTTGCATATAAATTGGCTTTGCAGCATGGCAGTTACTTACTCATGTGATGTTGTACATACTGTGTGTTCAGGTGTTCCATCTCTTGGAAGGGCAGAGCTACAGGCAGCCTGTGAGGACTTCATCAATGTGATCGGCTCCTCATCCGACTGCACGCTTTACAAGGGAACTCTATCAAGCGGAGTCGAAATAGCAGTAGTCTCCACTTCAGTTAACTCTGCCAAAGATTGGACCGACAGGACTGAGGAGCAATTCAAGAACAAGGTTATTAGGCAACGTGCAAAGCTATGGTCAATTCAGCTAGTTTTTTACTGTTGTAGTGTTGTGTGTCTTATCTTACTGAACATTAACTGCTCCTGTTTCAGATATCTGTCCTGTACAGAGTGAACCATAAGAACCTGCTGAACTTGCTTGGTTACTGCACATGCGACGAGCCGTTCACAAGAATGATGGTCTTCGAGTACGCTCCCTGCGGTTCCCTCTTCGAGCATCTGCATAGTGAGTGCCCACTCTGTATCTATCTCGATGCCTGGAGAAATACAGTAACGTTCTTGCCTTTTGCCGATGAAAGACAGCAATAGCGCTAACTGTTTTCTGAATCCCAAGCAACTGTTAGGTGTGCTTTGATTGATATCTGAAGAACACATGCATGTTGTCTGCAATGATTGATTGCTAGGTAGCTAACAGAATAATTCCTCCTCCTGTGCTGCAGTTAGAGAAGCTGAAGATTTGGACTGGCCTGCACGACTGCGCATCATCATGGGTGTAGCATACTGCCTGGAGCACATGATCCAGCTGGACCCTCCAGTGACGCCACCGTCCCTGAGCTCCTCATCCATCTACCTCGCCGAGGACTACGCGGCCAAGATCTCCGACACCGAGTTCTGGAAGGACGACGGCAAGGATGCACAGATGATCTCTGACAAGCAGGATGACATGGACATCGTGTACAGGTTCGGGATCCTGCTGCTGGAGGTGATCTCCGGCCGGCTGCCCTTCTCCGAGGACCACGGCCTGCTGGTCCTCTGGGCGTCCAGCTACCTGGACGGCAAGAGGCCGCTGCGTGGGATGGTTGATCCGACGGTGAGGTCGGCCGTGCCTGAGAAACATTTAGAAGCGCTGCGCGACGTCGTGCGGCTGTGCGTGCGCCCGGACGATAGGGAGAAGCGGCCGGCCATGGGCGAGGTTGTGAGGACGCTGAGAGGCGTCACCGGGTTGTCGCCGGAGCAGGTGACGCCGAGGGATAACCCGCTGTGGTGGGCCGAGCTGGAGATTGCCTCGGCGGTGGAGTCCGGGTGAAGTTCAGAACCAAACGTGAACTGAATTTTCTTTTTTTTTTTTTTGACGTCATTTTCTTCTGTATACTGTATTTATACATTTTTTGTTTTGTTTTGCTGCTGTTCACTGTACCTACAAACGGTCTGTTCGCTGATTGGTTTCTGGGTTGATAAACCTGACTAGTGCTGGTTTGTTGTGAGAGAAAACACTGTTGGTGACTGATAAGTCATGGTTAAAACAAACAAGCGAACAAGCTGAAAATGTAGAATATCAATTGTCTTTGAATGGGTGGGTTATGCTTGTGCAAGACATGGTTTCTACCAACTCCAATTAACACGCATCATCAGTTATCAACCGTCAGAATCCTAATCAAACCATCAGTCTTTCGGCAGCCATAAATGATCGTGGATTATTTATTTACTGCTAATTGGTTTGGTGTGAGAGAAAAATACTATTCCATCTTATAATCCACGATCGTATACGATCAAGCGAACATGCTGCATGTTGTTTTGTTTCACTAAAAAAAGAGTAAGTTTATAACTGCGTTTCACCTCTCTGAACTGAGGTGGCCTGGTGCAAGCGGTAGAGTCTTACCGTTTGTGACCGGAAGGTCCGGGGTTTGAGTCGCTGTGGGGGTATTAACCCCTATACCCTTATGGCTAAGTTTGGGCCGGCCTGGATCGGTGGGTCCGGTCCACCAAAAGACGACGTGGGGCCCGGTTAACCTGATCGGAGTCCCGCGTAAGGAGTCAAGGCGGATTTGGCGATCAATCAAGATTCAGTCGGTTAGAATAGGAATCTTATCCGCCACATATGGCAATTATGGCTGGCTAGGATTAGTTTCAGATCGTAACCACTCGCCCCCGAACTATATAAAAGGCGGGGAGACCCTCTAAAAACATCTCTCATTGACATACTGACAATACAAATCGGATCACGGGACGTAGGTATTACGCCTTTTGGCGGCCGAACTCGGATAAAACCTTATGTACGTCTTGCGTCACCGTCTTGTTTGTGGCTTATGATCTGTCTGCCGACAATCTACTACCTTGGGTATACCCCTAGGTAGACTGTCGACCATATTTTCAGTCGATGGCGGCGCGCGGTAGTAGGGGTGTGCGTCTTTGCTTCCCAAGCAAACAAGATGGTCATCATCTCGGCTCCATGGCTACGCCGAACGGCCTCACGTTCACCGTTGGCGAGATCACTGGACCACCGGCTCCGGCGACTTCATCGCCATGACCCCGGAGGAGGCGTGGATTCGATCTGCGTCGACCATCGCTTCACCTACATCGGCTACGGCTCCGACCACGGTGGATACGGTTCCGACCACGGTGGACATGGCTCGACCACGGTGGATACGGCTCCGACCACGGTGGACACGGCTCCGACCACGATGGATGCGGCTCGACCACGATGGATCCGGCTCGACCACGGTACATCTAGCTCGACCACGCTTTGCATCACCTTCACCACGCCGACAACTTGTCATCCGCTTCCCCGCTACAAAGGGAGGCGGATCGACAACACCGACGACTGCTCGACTCCATCGATCGGGTCGGCACCAAGCTCATTGAAACCCCCGCTCTAGTAAGTACACGATTCAAAGTCAGCCTAATGAAGCGTAACCGCTCCCCCCAGCAGATCTACCCGACCGGCTCGGACGGTCGTCTGCACGACTTGGTATGCAGATCTCGTGGTCACATCTACTCCTCAAAGGCTCTCACGCTTCGTCGTCGGCCCGCCTTCGCGATGGGTCTCGGCTCCGAGTCTGAAGCCTCAACGGAGAACTACCGAGTCCAGCCCTCTATATGGCGCAAAAGCAGCGCCTCCATTACGCCTATAACCTGCTGCGCCGCTTGGATCTGTGTCTTATGCACCGACCTCGGTGAAGAACCGCGCAACCGTCAACATGATCTAGATTGAAGATTATCAAGAAGGATCCGTTCACACACCCAAGAGGCGACCCTAGCTCCTCATCGGCACCGCATCTAATGCATCATCCACACCGAGCTTGACATCACGAAGATGAAGGCGTCTGGCACGATCTGGATATCCTGCAGACCACGCCCGGGGTTCTCACAATTCCGTCTTTCCCGCCAAGATGAGGGATTTGATCCATGTTGTCAACAATGACGAACCGCGGCGATTGGCGAAAGCAGAACAAGAAAGGACTGCACGCGAAGCACGCAATATTGACCGGTTTAATCGCGACAAACAAATCGAAGCGAAAGCGAGACCATGAGGCACGACGATAAGGGTCCAACCACGTGACCTCAACGATGCTTTTCGGCGTGGTGGGGACAAACAGGTCTTCTTGAACTCCTAGTGCCAATGTAGCCGTCGCCATGGCAACAATGCAACGGCTACCCAACACCCCGAAAACCAAGCGGTTCACGATGAAATACAAGCCTATCGGACGGTACGCTATGGCCTGAACCGTGGAGATTGTAAACCAAGCTCGGGCTCCATCCGTCTCGGTCGAGTCAAGCCACAGCCGCCAGCACCTAAGTCGCTCATAGCCGCCCAACCAACGTGGCTCACGCAACAACGACCCATCGACAACCGTCAAGGAGGAAGCGGTGGCCATGATGGTGGCGAGATGACAACCGCCGCGGGACAACGCGACAATCGCCCGCGATAACCACGGTCGCGAGGGCTAATCCAGATGGCAATCGAGATCACCGCGATGGCAATAACGATCTCCGCCATTACCTCGGTGGGCCGCGATCTGCGGCGCTTCGCATCAACCGAGAGCCGACGATCGGCGCCCCACGAAAGTTATCGCCGTATGGAATATGACATCGCCCACGGCCCGCCGGGTTTGAAGCGATTTACTCCACACCTTCGCCAAGTCATATGGCCCAAGAATTTCAAGCTCGAGAAACTTGAAATGCGATGGCAAGGAAACCCCGAATTATGGGTCATGCTTTACGAGATCTGCGTGCGAGATCAGCCATGGCGGACGAGCACGTCATGTCTAACTATTTCCCGATCATTTGTTGGCCATGCGGGTCACCAATGGCTGGTCGACTTGCCGGTGAACTATTTCGACTCTTGGCAGGAGCTCAAGCAAGCCTTCATCGACAACTTCATTGCTACTTGTGAACAATCAGGCAACAAATACGATCTGCAACGTATTCGAGATCGAAAAGATGAGCCATTGCGCGAGTACGTCCGGTGTTTCTCGGAGATGCGCATCAAGGTCCCATCAATCTTCGACAACGAGGCAATCGAGGCTTTCATCATCGGCCTCGCTTCCACGATGCCCTAAGGGACAAGCTCCTCCGCAAAAGACCTGATTCGATCCACGGTGCTCACGGCCACCGCTAAGAAAATACACGGACGCCGCCGATGCTAAAAAGATAATTATTGAAGAAGCGGCAAGGGTTCCGCGCTCCGACACCCCCCACCGCCGCGACGACTATCGCGACAACCGTGGTCGGAACGACAATTTTGACCGCCGCAACCAACAAGTAAGCGACTCCCCGCGACCACCGTGACTAGCGTAATCGGTGGCGTAATCGCCGTGGCGATTACGAGAGCAAGCGTGCTTTCGGGAAGACGACGGCGAGGTCAACACCGTTAAAAGGGTGGCGGACGTCATAACTATGAAGACGACTACGCCAAGGCATTGAAGGGGCCCTGCCAGCTCCATCCTTAGTCGAACCATACCATGGAGAATTGCCGCGTCCTCAAGTCTATCTACACGCGACAACTAGCTCCGGATACGTCCGACAAGCCTAACGACGCAGGGAAACAACGCAACGAGGATAACGATGATGACGATGCAGACCCCCGTCACAAGTACGTCAAGCCAACCGATCGCGTGCACACCATCATCGGAGGCAAAGTGTCCATCGAGACCAAACGAGAACGTAAGCTGCTCGCCCGCGCTTGCTTGAACGTGGCCAACACCGACAATCTCCTCACCGATCCGCGGCTCCCTCCGTGGTCTCACCGCGAAATCTCCTTCAGCAGAAAGGACCAATGGGCCGCAATACCTGAGCCAGGGCATTTTCCCCTGGTCCTCGATCCTTGTATCAACAAAGTTTACGATTCGACCAATCTTGATCGGCGGCGGCTCTATTGATATCTTGTTCAAGAACAGTCGATGCGCCATACGAAGATAGCTCAGCGGACCTCAAGCCATATGAGGCACAGATTCTAGGGTGTTCTCCCGGATAGAGCTCTACACCTCTCAGGCGAGATCACGCTACCGGTGCGATTTGGGACCCCGGATCACTTCCGCACCGATTCACGTCAACCGTGGTCGCCGACTTCGATGGCACCTACCATGCTATTCTTGGTCGACCATCGCTCACCAAGTTCATGGCCATACCTCATTACAGGTATCTAGTGCTCAAGATGCCTACCGAGAAAGGAGTTCTAACCCTCCGAGGCAACGTAATGCGCTTAACTTATACTGCGAAGATGACAATTTCAAAATAGCAGAGGCTCACGACCTCTCTATTCGCATGGCGAGACCGTGCTCAACGCCAAGAAGACCTCGATCGACCACTAGGAGATCCCGGAGCTCGAGGCTCCACGCAAGAACATCAAGTCCAAGGAGCATAAGGTGATCCAGCTGGTCGACGGTGATCCCAAAGAAGACGGCCCTTATCGGGGCCAACACGGATCCCAAATAGGAAGACACGCTCGTCAAGTTCTTGAGGAGCAACGTGGATGTGTTCGCATGGAAACTGGCGACATGCCGGTGTACCTCTCGAACTTGATTGAGCACTCCTTGAATGTCAGCGGCAAGGCCAAACCTATCAAGCGAAGCTATGACGGTTTGCTCGTGACAAAAAGGAGGCGATTAGGGTAGAAGTTACATGGCTTTTGGCGGCCGGATTTATCAAAGAAGTGTATCATCCGGAGTGGTTAGCCAACCCGGTTCTTGTATGCGCAAAAGAATAATGAATGGAGAATGTGCGTTGATTACACCGATCTCAACAAACACTACCCTAAAGACCCTTGACTTGCCTCGCATAGATGAGGTCATAGATTCAACCGCCGGT